ACATTGCGTCTTCCTTGTAATAATAGAGTTCTTTGTTTGATAATTTTTCATCATAAGGATATAATTTTTGTTGTTTTATGCATGACGTAGATGAATTTATGAAAGAAAGCTTGAAGGGCGGATACAGAAAATTGATCCGCAAGAGGGGGGGGGGGGCATCTACAGTAACACAATCCAGTTAATATTTTCTGACAAGTTAAAGAATGAAGTTTGAGGAGGTTTTCTGACAAATTAAATGAAGTTTAGGGGAGGGGGAGGGGGCAATATGTACCTACAATACTGAACATATGTGTATTCATTGTCCTGCATTGGTAAATATTGACACGGGCAATAATAAGTGCCGAGACAATCCCTTCCCCCTTTTACATGTGTAATGTATGTTTCTTAAGATATTGTACATATTACAACATCTGTCAAAACTGGTTGATCGCCCTCTTCGACCGGCTAAAAATAGCATGACTCAAAACTCATTTTAACTTTCAGGAAGCATTTTTTTAATTGCATTTCTGAAATAGATTTCGAAAATTCAGCATTGATATTAAAATTTTCTGGGGGAAAAATTCTTATCTACCTACCGATCCAATTTTTTCGTCCTGAGTCGCGAGAGGGCATACAAACATTATTTTAAAGTTGGTCGTATTCCCTACATATTGGCGTAAACCGTCATAATATTTGCACTGCCTATTTGCTCTGTACCGAGTTATAAGCAGGTCAATATTCGTATGTCTTGCAGTGAACATGTAATCTCACAAAAACTGAGGATGAGGATATAATTTTCGTATTATCATTATGTCCTTATACAGTCATTACAAGTTCAGAATATATTTTGAAGTTTGAAGTTTTTTTTTATGTCTCATTGATTCACTATGTAACCCCCCCTTTTTTTTCGCTAAATTTCGTTTGAAAAAAAATCAAAAGCTTAGGCCTACATATTCTTCCATTCATTTTCTGGTTCTCAAATTTTGTGGAAGTATGACCACTTAGTTTGGGTCTAATAAGATATGTCGATGATAGGGAAAGAGGGAATGTTGGCAGTGAAATGGCTGCTGGCCGGAAGTAGTAGTGCTGTATTCCTAGGACTCTTCCCGAAATCACATATTATAAATCTAAAGTAACGAGTAAATCAGTTTCCGAGTTTATTAAATCAACAATTTTAACTTTCAAGAAATACATGCGGTGACACAGACGGAAGTGGCCAGTAATTTTTCGGGCCTCCGGACACATACAATTTAGATACTGGTATATAAAAACAATTAGCGAATTGAGTGATAAATGACGTGCATTGAGTATTTTTTTTTATATAGGGCTTTAAAAAGTGTTGAGGGCAACTTACACTACATAAAGATTTGTAATTAAAATTGATAAAAAGCATATATGTTTGAAATAATATTCAAACTAAGATTTATTTCATGAGTCGATTTTGCACGGCGATAGAAGTATTTATCTCAGATTTAAAAAGAAAAAAATTTCTTCGCTAACACTAACAACCTGTCGTTTCAAGCTCGTAAAATTTTGACATTTTATACTAGTATCTGTAAAACGTCCCTTGACCTGAGGTCTGATAAATTTGTACGCATTGCATATTCTTGTATCTATCTACTGAGTAACGTCTGGTGGAATCGCCGATATTGCTGAGCACTGTCATTTTAGCTCAATTTTCTTTTGTCCAAAATGGGATTTATCCCCTACCGAAATACATTTTTTTCTTTGTTTTGTTTTTTTTTCGGGGGGGGGGGGGTATTTTTAACTTGTCATTTTAAGCCCCCTTTTTCTGAAATCGTTGTTACATACATCACGTACATGCCTTATGAAATGGCCAAATATGATTCATGAAAAAAATAAACAGTCATTTTTCCCATTTATCAATTCAAATATTAAACGGAACTTATTGCAAACCTTCCTACACAAAAATGTATTTATTTTCGTAACCTTTAATTCAGATAAACACTGTATCTTTGGAAGAAATTAAAATAATAATCAGATGCAATATTACAGAGAAATAAATCTGTATTCAATCTTTAAGATTTAATTTCCTCGTATTATGTTTTGGGGTTTTAATAAATAATGACGCATTATTTACTAGGAATTAAATGCAGGAATGTTGTATTTGGGGGGGGGGGGGTCATACATTTTGTTTCACTGGTAATTGATTGATATAGAATGAAGATGTTCATTGAATGGCTAATTGCAACCACCTCTAACAACCCCACCCCCCATTTTTGAAGCAAACTCAAATCTTCCCATATTATGCATAAAAAAAACTGGTCAATTTTTTTTTTTTTTTTTTTTTTTTTTTTTTTTTTTTTTTTTTTGCAGCATTTACTTTTTTCTCATTTTTTTCGCCTAGTCCAAGACTTTTAACAAATGATACTAGATTTTGTTCTCAAATTTCAAGAAATACACATCGTAGCAAACACATTAGTTTCGCTCAACCAGAAGCTAGGCTGTCTCCGTAAACAGTAAAAACCGGTTCTTTACTTGAATGAGACAACAAACACATTGAACCGCAAATGACCGTGACGAAGGCAGATCGTCATTTATTGCGTTTATACACACAGAATAAACGTTTTGAGAAAAAAGAATAATATTTTTTCTTCGCTAAATTTAATGCTTTACAAAGAATCAACTTTTTCAAACTTCGTCATTTGCTACATGTAGAGCTGAACAAAACTTTAATCGCATATATAAACCTATATGCTGGGAACGATTTAAGAATTTTTTTTTCATTTATTGTTTATTATTTCACTTCGGTTACTATGTATTAGTGTTAAAAAGAATATGTACATGCAGAAGTATATATCGATTATGTGCATGTACAATCGCTTTCAATGTATTAAGAATTGGGAAAAAAAAAAAAAAAAAAAAAAAAAAAAAAAACAACTAGCACCTAATTACATGTATATCAGCAAAATTTAATATTCAATATTGGAAATGTCCAATTATATGGAACTTAGCTCTAAAATTCATATTCTCTTTTTTCTTGATATTTTATTGGCTCTAAATGATATAAACAACAATGAAAATAAGTTGATAGCGCTCAGATAAAAATGCTGGAAAAATATATAACATACGCAACTTGCATTTTGTGACGTTATCTTTACCGGCGTTTTTCTCATTATGACGTCAAAATACATAAGGGCCCTTTTCGCATGGGACGGCTCATATGTAAGAGAATATACTCAAGATAAGACATAAATAAACATTGAATGCCATATTTTATAATACATTAAAATATCAAAGATAAGACATGATTGATCACCCAATGATATTTAAGATGAACTTGTTTTGTCTTAGACGGTCCTTTTATAAATATCTTAGAAAGATGTATGAATAATGGAGATAACGAACTCAAAAGCTCAAAACTCCACTGAAGCAATACAAATCGGGAGCAGATCAAAACAAGGGCATCTAAAAACATAAGAGGTGGGATCAGGTGCCATGGAAGAGTAAGCATCCCCTGTCGACCGGTCACCACCGCCGTATATTCATTGACATGATCGGGTAATTATATATAAACGGAAAAATCCGTAGACAATTTAGTGTTTAAATAATGGTCTAACAATTAGTACGAAAAAAGTCAGTCATCATTTGACTTACTGATATATTGTATTTGCTGAAAAGGTCATTGTACCGACCATAGAACTTGCGAAACCATGACTTTAAACGAGATATTCTTGTTTCATCAACTTGTTTGTCAATAGCTTGCCTCGTTTATAAATTGTTCGTTTGTGGAGCATTTTCTTGCGTATCGAACCAAGTAGGAGATATAAACCCCATATGCAGGTGGAAGGGTATATTGCTATATAAGTAAGGGAAGTTGACGATAGAAATGCTATTCATCAAGTTTATCATAAAGTTTTTTTGTTAGGTTACCAAAACGTCTTTTTATGGTATAATATTCAAATATGAAACAGATGTATCAGACTCTGTGGTATCTTTTATTTCAATTTCATATATGATTTGTATTTAAACTTATAAATTTCCTTCGTATTTGAAAGGTAAAAAGAATAACAGCTTCGGCTTTTTTTATGAGAACACACAGTGGGCAAACTATTTCGTTGGGTGAATTGCTGAGTCCAATAAATTTTATGCTATATGTATGTATTGAAGAACTTGATAAAAGCAATTAACGTGACATTGACAGTGAAATATTTAACAGTGTAATGCTTGATCCATCTACCCTTCACAAAAAACCAGCAGGGAATATAGAGCGTTAAATTTAACCAATTATATTTCAGGAAAAACTAGATATGCTATTATCAGTAGCCTATGAGTTAAAAAAGTAGTTAGGAAAGGATGAAAGAATTTTTTTAATCGAAACTGGACAAGTTGAAAAGTGATTTGATGCAAAATAAGGAAATAAAGATTCAGGATCTGAGGGATGAAATAGCGTTAGATATTTGTAAAGGAAAATATCGCACTGACAAAAATCTCTTTTCCATGAAACTACATCTGAATAAGCTAGAGGAACAGGAAAAACATTTTTTCAGCGTATAAGGATAATCACTTTGGAGGTGCTGAACAATCCCTAAACCCATTAGATTACAACGAAATTACAGCCGTGGCTAGTAGCATTCTTGTTAAGGATGAAAATCTGATGCTAAAAACAGAGAATTTAGCGTACGCTTTATGAGGAAATGTAGCTCAAAACGGTCGCTAACTGACGAAATTTAATAAAACAATCAATTTGCACAACAAAGAAGTTAAATTCGTGTTCTAGGACATGATAGAGTTTATAAGTGCTGAGTCATACAAAAAAGTATTTATCAGAAGTAGAAAACTCGCATAAAACGCTTGATAGAATTCAATGCACGTGCTGTCTTATGGAACTTGCCGGGTGAACAAGGAAAGTGAGTACAGGTCCACACGATTCGCGTATTAAAACCCGACAAAGTACACGTGTTGACCATGACCAACAAGATGATCAAGATAAGTAGTTTGCTTGGCCTGATAGTATTACTAGTGATTACATTTGAACATTGTTTGGCAAATATGTTACATTAATCTGTAAATACAAAAAGACGTAGTCAAGTATATTTACAAATAGCTCTTCGAGAAACACAATAAATGTTATTGAAATTCCCAATCATATTCTACCCTTTTTATTTCCCTGAGCCCACTAATTACATTTTGCTCCTGTACTCTACGTGTTCCGTGAGGAAAACTGTTATTTACTTCATAAATCCAGGTCAAATGGACCGGGTGTACGTGTACCATGTAATCATTCTTCATGCTTGAATATAGGTATTCACAATTCACTTAATGAATAAACAATTATTTTTATTATAATTATGTTTTACCTTTGTGGTAATTGCTTGTGAAGGTTCGATTCATCGAGTAAATACCAAAATTATAGGTCTAGGTTTCAAGGTTTGAAATATTAAAAAAAATCTCTGATTTTAAAAAAAAGATAGTCAACCGTGCAAAAAACAGGTATATTTCGTTGGTACTACAAATTAAATATTTTGTATTGATATTTGTGATCAAATTTTTATGAGAGATTTCTTGCAATCATGAATGTTTATCGTTCTCATTAAACAATGATTCTGATTTTCTTTATCTTTAAGAACACTATAGCAGCAGCAGTTAGTGTGCATTTATCGTATATCTGTACGATAAACATAAAATTAAGACTATATTATTTTCCGATTGAAATTGCATAAACCATATCAACATCAATAATTCTGTATTTTTCAAACTATTACTTTACATTGAAACACTGTAATAATTTCAAATACTGCCATTGAGCAGGAAGAAAACTAATGTTGGTACCTGACTGAATCGTAGAAGAAACATTCAGCAGTTTTATCTTGGTGGCATTTTGATCACTTCGGATATCATCTAATGCTTTATCGACGAAGTGGGAAAAATTCCAAAATCTGTTTTCAACCATTTTCAGGCGATCATCAGTGTTCATGGCCTTTATCTCCTTTTCAAGTTGATATAACTTGCTTTCTAATGCTTCCTTCTCCTTTGACAGTGTATCATACTGCTGTTTCAGGGCAAATGTTTCATTCCATAATGTGCTAACGTCTACTCTTAACCGTTCTTTTATTTTTGAATTTCCCGATTTAAGTTCTTCATTTTCTCTCCGGAGAGCGAGGAGTTGTTTCCTCAGAAAATATATCTTAGACTCATTCAGCCTTTGAATATTTGCAAGAGTGAGGTTCTGATTATCGATTATTCTGTTATAGATGGCATCCAGTTCTTGTTGAAGTTTAATATTATCTTGTTCAAGTTTCTGATCCTTTGTTTTCAATGCGTTCAATTCTTTTGCTAAATAAAAAGGTTCTTTTTCAATATTCTGTCGCTATTTCTGTTATATCTTGAATCAAAGTATAAAGCAATAAAGTATATGTTTTAATTTAGTACTGTTCAGACTTGATTGTTTAAGAGTTATCCAAAGCGTCCAAGTATCTGCGCTTATTCTTTGTACATAATCTTCCGATTGAAATAAAAATTTTCTTCTATACGTACCTATGGACGAACAATTTGTCAACAAATCTTTGATTTTCTTATTATCCTGACGTAGTTCATCTACTTCACACAGAAGCTTTATCTGCTGGCTCCGAATTGTTTGAAAATTTTCCATTTTGTTTTCATTACTATTGCTGTTGTCTTTTTCATTCAAATAAATATACTGAGAACTTGTAAATAACAAGCCGGACAGGAACATTATTGTCCACCTCATCGCCACGATTTAAACGTTTCTCTTTCTTTTCACTTAAGTGTTTCTTGATAAATATTTAAGTATAAATACTTGTTTACAAGAAGTGTTTAAATTCACTTCCTAGAACACCCACATGTCATTAATGTTGAGTCTTAAATCAGAACACCTAACAAGAAATAAATCAGATAATTGCATATGGTATACCAAGAGCTACTGCTGCTCTCAATCCAAGAATATACACACAATATATGTATAGAATTCAAATATTTTTCTACATTGAATGTTCAAATTATTTTTCATAAACAGAAAAGGAAAAAAAAAAAACTTTTGACGAAATAAAATTCGATGTAAGTCATAAAAATTTGTAATAATTTGGATGGTTTTAAAATACTGCACATATATGCACACCTATTACTTGGATGATATCAAATATTGCAGAAAAAGTATGCTAGTAAACAGTCAGTCTTCCTCCGTGTAGATGATAAAATTTAAATAAAATGCAGTACTAAATAGGCAATATACCCGGTGATGCTGATGCATGAAATATGCCAGCTTGAAGCGTCATAGTTCATGTCCTCATGAATTTTCGAAAATGAATTTTATTTTTTGAAAATTCCCAAAAAGAAAAAAAAACATGGAAAATTAAATTCTGCAGTTATGGATGGTACCAAAAGCGTCGGTCATTCTTGCCGAACAAGTAATGATTTGATTCATCTACTTTTTAGTGTTTCCTTTTTGTCTCCTGCTTTCACTGAAAGTGGGGGACATTAATTTGCGTCCGTCCGTCCGTCTGTATTTCTGTCTGTCTGTAACACTTTCATTTCCGCGTGATATCTCGAGAACCCTTTGAGCTTTTGCTATGAAATTTTGCACAGCAACTCCCTATGACCAAAAAAAAAAAAAAAAAAAAAAAAAAAAAAAAAAAAAAAACTATTGATTTTGAGGTCAAAAGGTAAGAGTTCAAGATTATAAATTCATAAATTCTGTCCGTTTTAACACTTTGGTTTCCGCGCGATCTCTCAAGAACCCTTTGAGCTTTTGCACTGAAATCTTACATAACAACACTTTGTGGCCTAAGGAAGACCCATATTGATTTTGAGGTCAAAAAGTCAAAGTTCAAGGTCGTAAATTCATACATTCCGTCTTTGTGTAACACTATCGTTTCCGGGCGATATCTCAAGAAGTTTTTGAGCTTTTGCAATGAAATTTTATACCATAACTCCCTAGGGCTTCTCTCGCCCCTCTCAAAGTGTCCCAACCCCGTTTTTTTCAGTACTGTAATAAAAGTCGCTTTGCACTATTTTTAGCACAGGGGCATGTGGAGAGTTATTACGTATAATACAGGTTGTCGGTGGACTTTATATTCTTATTACATCTATTAGAACTGTTTAGTAAAGGCTAAATTAGACGTCATGGATTGTGTAAAATTTTGACAATATCAAACGTGAATATAAACATTATATGTGATCTAATGTTTGCATTCAATTTGCTATATAATCAAATGCCTTCGTGGTCTAGGGGTATGACTCTTGCTTAGCATGTGAGAGGTGCCGGGTTCAAACTTTTTTGCGGATTTTTTGATACTAAATGATAGTATTTAGCATGTGAAATGAAAAAGTTATGACGTCTGACCTGTACAAACTCATAAAATCATTATTACAGTGTGATAAATATTCTATATAAAAAGAATATACACATATTAAAGAATAAGCAATTAAATCTTTATATCCTTATTGCCATTTTTTATTTGCTTCAATATACATGTATACATTTAATAATTTTACAAATCCAGAAGGGGGGGGGATCCGACAGGCACCCACCCCCCCAACTGCGCATGCTGTTCTTTTTTCCCTAAGCGGGAGACACAAATTCTCTGAATTATCTTATTTTAATTCGACCCCCACCCACTTTGTTCATAAATATATTTCATAATTTGAAATTATATTTTTGCCTTATAGATAGAACTGCATATATATCTACACTTTATATATAATTCATAGTCATTGAGTAGTAAAGGTTATTTAGTGTGCCGACGCCGGCCGTGAGAGCCGATCTCAGTTTTCATGGTCTCAACCCCAAGATTTTCACTTTTAGTGCTGGGTGTTTATCGAAGGAACAGCAATTACATTTGTTATACATTTTAGGTTTGACGCGAACAGAATCGAATCAGGGTCTCCCGAGCTAGTGCCCTACCACTAGACTACAGCTACAGATAATGACTATTTGAATTTAGTCCAACATTGCAGGAAAAAATTGCTGCAGAATGCTCTTCATTCTTTCTCCTTCAATGTAAACGGCAAAGAAAATACAAAACAGCCATTAAGTATGGAAAATGAAAGTGTTTTATTTCATTGTACATTAAAATCCCCAAAATTACGATCAGTTCTGGGTGTAAAAGTAACAACATATAAAGGTTGAAAATTTGTTTCTTCTCTTTCTTTCAGCAAATTAAAATCTAGATGAAGTTGATAAAAAAGGTCGTAACTAAACCTTTGGTTTCGTGCATACAAAATGAAACTTCAAGCCACAAGAATAATCATGCCACCCTCTGTATATGGCAGCGAGAGCAACACAGTGTTCTGTGTTCCCTGAGTCTGGCTGTCCCTTATCCCAGTGGTTGTAAGTTTCCTGAACATTGATGCCGTTAGAAATATAGACAAAATTGTGGTTCTGAAGCAAATCTGTAACACCTATCCATATGTTTTTAATGCCTGAAATAAAACAAGATGCTTTTAAAAAAGTTATTTTTCTAGATGAAGATTACATTACTAATCTGAATTACAACCTTTCATTTTGCTTATATTGTTTCCACAAATGGATCTGACTGAGAAGTGCATATTTTATTGCTACTTTAGGATATATAGAGGAAAACGAGGTTAAATGCACAGTAAAAATCTTTCAGTATGTTTTAATCTAGTCAGAAACACAGATCACTTTTTTTTCATAGTTCTGTATTAATAACTGCTAATAAGATTAGACAATTCAGCACTGCCATTTGGCATTGATATTCTTTCTGTGCTATGGCTAAACTGCAGTCCACTCCATCTTGAAAATCATTAAGCTTCACCAAGACAAACCAGTACCAAAACATATCTGATTTTTTAGTACCTAGGAGAAAAATATTTTGATTGAATATTTACAAAAACTAGAAAACAAATTTTTGAAAAGAATGTTTATATATTAAAAACAAATACCTAGTTTAGACACATCGATTTTCTAACAGCCTAGGGTATTTTAATTTTCACGTAAACACAAATAACTAATTTTGATGGGCCAGTGATGGGCCATTTAAATGATGTCCAAGGGTTTGAAAATATCTTTACAATATATATTAACTTGTTTGAATTTAGTTAACAGTCAGGGAAGGTTATGAACATACATGTTGTTACGTTAAATACAATTATATTGATTCAAATGATGTAAATTAAATACCTATAATTACACCTTGAAGAAGCATCCATTTTTCCTCGGCAATTGCATTTGGTTCTACTAATGCTGAACTCATTCCATAGCAACCTGCCTAAAAAGGTAGTTTTGAATGTTAATCAAATGTTTATTATTTAATACAGGTTTCTCTTATCATGAATCTGAATATTGTTTTTGATTGTCCATAAATGCTTATAAAATATGCAATCAGCAGAGGGAACGTGTTTGGAACAAAATAAAAATGTTAGCAAGTGTACATGCAAACACACTTGCATTTTTTTTTTCGAAGATTATGAAGTATTTATCAAAACTTTTGATTTATTTTTCATAAGTTAAGTCCTTAGGAAGCATTTACACGATTACTCTGCATCAAGCGACATTGAAAATTTGTGATTTTTACATTTACGGTAATCTACGATACACGTACACTGAGACACTAATTTTTTTGCAAAACGTTTCATATGATGCACTTGAATACAATTTGTGATTTTTTTTAAGAGAGCACTTGACTCGCTTTTAAATATTAGGAGAATGTACACTCATCAAAGTTGACAAATTCTGTATAATCGAGTAAACAAAGATAGCATAACTTTATTATTTTTTTGTTGATTTTTTTAAAATTGAGAAAGAAAACAATCTAAATTGGTAACATATAATTTTTTCTGACGCTTACATTTTCACATACACCCCTACACAGTAACTGAAATGAATGTAAACTGTTAACGCAATAGCTTCACCCGTTTCTTAAACTTTATATAATTATTTCTAATACTAACTACAAAAACGCTGATTCAATTAGTATCAGATATTATATGAAATAGATAATTCACCGAATTTGTTTTTAAGATAGTATTCTGAAAAGCTCAATTGACTTCAATTTATAATAATAGTTATATTTATATTCAAATAAGAACATTTTTAAAAAAAAATAAAATACTCTAAGTTACTCTAAGTTTTTAACAAAACTGCTGTAAACAACACGTGCCCCGGAAGCCACACAACTGGAGCACTCGCCAAATGACACCAATCAAGGAATGTTTACGTTCGGCGACATGATAATTAGATTCAGTGAAAGTCAGCACTTTCAGTTTTGCTTAGCTCTAAATCGATGTACATGTACGTGTAAATTTTAATAAACAATTTATAGTGATCAATTACACTTTGAATCGAAATTTACTTTAAAAAAAATATCTTAAGCATGATTTTTTATCCTTTTTAGCTTTTTTTTTATTATTAGACAAAATGATTTTACTTAAATGTTTTGCCAAGCCAAACAAAATATTTCGTATCAATACAGTGGTGCATGTATATGCGGCGATCTAAAAAGTCCGAAACTTAATTTGACGATCGACACGAACCCCAAACAAGGTACATAGGGATATACAAGGTATACACGGAAACTCTGAACTAAATGTCGATCAGTTACTAGCATCCAATCCTGGACCTTCAGTCCTTTGATTGACGGGGGTTGTTAGACCAGGTGAACTCGAAGGAGGTGCTTCTTTTCTGTCGCTTTGAATTATCAGAAAAAATGAATTAAATGCTTATCTATATATAGACTCACAACAGCATCCTTAAACGTTGTTGTTGTCTTCGAAAAATAGTAGCAATGGTCACCAAATGGAATCCATCCAGTCTCACAAACTGCAAATAGTTTGCACTTTAATCTAGAGCATTATAAAAGAGCGTAAACTGCTTCAACACAATTAATACCATAAAATTTGGGTAGCTATGAAATTCATTACTTATTGTTTAATTTTCAGTCATTTAATGTAAGAAAAGAAGACAATTGCCTTTCAAAAAGACTTCAAATTGTAGAAAATTAAAATGTAACGTCAGGCGGATCGCTACGTTTTTGACGCAAGCGATTGTGACGTAGGCAACACAGTTTATAGGATATAAGATAATTTTTTTATCCAATCAAATGACGTGTCACAACCAGAATTAGTTATGTATATTGTACGCACAAAATATATAACCATCAGCCTCCCTTGATCCCATAATGTGAATGAATTAAGGGTACTTTTGCATTGAAATTTGTAATGTACTCATAATCCTACACTATATGTTAAGACAAATTACAGTCTTATGCATCTTTGAGAATACATGTATATACCATTATTTGCTAAAATTAAAAGAAAATAAATAAATAAAACAAACTATGAATAAAATGAAGCATAATGTTAGAATTTGTTTGTTAAAAATCGTATCTTTACTCTTTAATCAAGTAAAATGCATACAGATTTCACACATTTCAGTCTCTGATTCCACTGTATGAAACTAGATGCATCATTTCTTTAGAATTATATATTGCCCTTTCCTACCTATCACAGTATGTGTTAATGATACATTTTATTGCTATTGAGATAATAATTGCAAATATATACTTGTATTTATATTGAAACGTAATTTAGCAACATGTCCTCCTTGTCAGCCCCCCCCCCCCTTCCCCTCAAGTTCAGCTCCCCGGAAGTCCAGATATGTAGTAGGAATTCCACAAAGAAAATTAACTAAACAACACCATTCCAAAGTGATGCAAAGGGATCACAAAATGCTTCATCATGAAAATTTCGACTAGAAAAAAAATATTAAGCGTATATATCAATAAATAAATGTATGTGTGCAATAATAGCTTACCTCGTTTAGAATTTGTGATGGTTGTCAGTCCAAATATTATACTTAGTCGCCATTCTAATTGCATAGGGACTAAAACGTGTTGTTTGAATGTACGCCGTATTATCTAATTTGAATTACTGCACGATAAGTGGTGAACAAAAAGTTTTTTTTCAAATTTGAATATAAGACCACATTACAAGTGAAATATATGAAAAAAAAATTACATGTAAAAATAATTTTAGTTTAGAAAATGACACTGGCGGTATCCTAGAAAATATGAAATCTGCTTTGTCAGTGTTATGTTATGTGTGAGACGTCTCAGGAGGTTTTTAAAGTAATAAATCAATGAAAAACAATTTAATTTTCAGTGTATTTACAGCTGTTCCTGTATGTGTACATTGCACAGTACAAATAAGTTGTGCATAGAAAGTATAGGCACTTTTTTGTGATACATAATAAAACAGGATACCGGTTCCTTTTAGTACATAACTGATTTAGGAAGAATAAAATATGGCTATTTACCAGACGATTAGATTTTCTATTCAGACTTGTCACGTGATGTGGCACTCACATGATTTTGCAAATAAACTTGCATTTTTGAGGTCATCTATAAATTTCAATAACGCTAGGGCATAATCAAATCAAAATTCTAAGTGCTACTACAAAAATTTTCAACACCCATTGCAATCTGTGAAAAGTGCTGCGATCCTATATACCGTATTTACTCGCCTATAAGTCGGTTTTGGGAGTTAATTTCGGTCTTAAACTCTGTGTCCGACTTATAGGCGGGTCAAAGATAGATTGGTATTTTTCTGTACGTCGAAAGGTTGTATTTTATAAACAATTCTTTATATATTATATCTTTTATCTATTCTAAGATTATGCTTAAAGTATACAAGTATTATACATTTTCATAATTTTATCTAAAGTGTGAGTTACTTATTTTTATAATGATTTGAAAATAAATAAAGGCGTTTATTTTTCTAAGGATATTGATTGAAACCAGGTTAAAACATAAGAGAATTGTTTTGAAATTATCAACCAATTCTGGAAAAAAAGTTGCATCGACTCATAAGCGGGTCCATTTCAAATCCGTTCAAAACAACCGCAAACGTACAACCGATTTATAGGCTGACCGACTTATATGCGAGTATATACGGTAGATTTTTTTCTATTTCATTGTTAAGATCATATTAGTAAGACTGCATGCTGAATCTTTTGCTGGTCAACTGCATTTAATGTACATGTAATTCATTTATTTTCAAGAGTTCACCAAGATCGCAGCACTTTTTAATCAGCTTAATACTTCTTGATTTTATTTGATAGCTTACTATGACCCAATGAGGGTATGCCCTAGCATTAGATCAATTTATAAGTACCCTTACTTTACCCACCATTGTACCTACATTTAAATATACGGTAGCATCAGTTTACTAGGCAATGAACATAAAATATAGGAATAAAATCATTACAAAAACAGCGCATCCAACATAATAGTTTGCCGAATATCTGAAAAAGATATTATATTTTATTATAAAATACATCTTTGGTTGTGAAAATATTACTTGATCCGCCTTTCACTGCGTCAAGTTTTAACGAATGACTTTACATCGACAAGTGCATCGGAAGCAGTGACTAGTTTATTTCTTGCTATGGGGGATTTTACTAACGACAAATCCAACATGCTATAGTATATTTTGATGTAGTTTAATGTTCTCATATAATTTAAAATCCCAAAAACTTCGTTTTGCTGAATATTTAAGAACTTTTATTTTTCTATTATGTCTTAGTCAATATTTCCCGTATAAACTAGGCCCGGTCTCCTTTTTGTAGCCTTATATGTGCTGCTTGTTATGACATCATTTCTATATGATGATCTTGAATACAGTGAAAAGAGGCTTACCTGATGAACCTTGCGAGGAAATATTTAGCAGTGCCATTTTTGATGCATTTTGATCCTCACGGATATTCTGTAATTCTTCATTAAATAAATTCGACAACATCGCTAAGCTGCCCTCCAGCTCCTTTATTGTTTTGTTCATTTGATTGTACTTCTGATGTAAATCATTGGTTTCATTTTTTAAAGAAAGTACATCCACAGTTTGAAACATGTCTACTTTTTCTCTTTCACTCACTGCTGCTTGAATAGACATTAGTTTCTGGTTAAGTTTCAAGTTGTCGTCTTTCGTTCTCTTTTCCATTTCCTCTAATAAACGGACTTCTTTTACTAAGTCACGTAGTCTTGTCTTCATGGTTTGGGTACTGTTTTTTCTATCTAATGCATCCATCACTAAGCTTTGAATTTTTTGTACCATTGAAAAACGCACTAATGTTTCTTGGTTCAAAATATCCCTAAGAGCGCTTGATGCTTTGTCAGACGTTGTACTGGGCAATACTTCTACGTTCTCCATTGTGCCATTTTCAGCTAAATTCAAGTGCGCAAATGTTTCGACAAGAGAAAGCAAAATATATACAAACTGCAATGTCCTCACTTTTTGGCGTCTTACCCCAGTAAATGCCCTCATACGTCTGTCTATTCTGCTAGAGAACATAACACTTTTATTTTATTGAAACTGAAGTTGTTTGCATTGCATGATTGAGATAAACGAAAGGAAGTCTTGAATTGTTACAACCTTGTTTAAAATCAACCTTCTTTGAATCACATGACCTTGTTTTTACTTGAGATATCTGATATGGAAAAGATCAGAACATATGTTATCTCTAATCTTAATTTCACAGGACAAATTAATTATCATTTATGCTGTTGATGTTTCTTTCTCCACGCCAAGGGGCAAAAAATCACTCGTTTCCTAACAAATGTTATCAAAGAGATTTGAACATTGTTTTAATTATAAGTTTCAAGGATTCCCGCCACCCACTATTTAAGATTTGTGCCAACTTTAAATTAACATATTAGATGTAAACTTTATAAAGCTTGAAAACTTTTCAGAGTTTTGCTTTCGTTTTTTTTTTTATTAAAAAAACAAAACAAAACAAAATAAAATGTCTTTTTTACAATGTCACAGTGTGAACAGTTGAAACATAAGAACATTATAAAATTTTTCATAAGGACAGTAAGGAACGACTTTTTCTGACCTATTTATTCGAGAGATTTGGAGGGGAATGGGGGAGGGCTTCGATCAGAGAGCAACATACGGTAACGGCGACAAAATGACATTTCAATTAAAATATCCATATCTAATTAGCAATTAACGGCAAAATAACATTCACTAAAAAATGTTTTCGTAGGGATTGGGTGGGTTTAGCACTGTCATTTTAAATTCCAAACGATAGATTTATGAATTCATCAATTTAGATGAAAAGTGTGACAGTCTTTATACAAATCTCTCATTCATTTAAGATATGTATTTTTAGTGACGCACATTAATGTTGGAAAAATATTGCATTTCACGTGATTTGAGGCAATCCGATCATATTTATTGTGTAGCACATTGTTTAAATGATAATGATATGCCTGACTTTTCTACATCATCGTTTACAAATAAAGCTTTGTTTGTGATGGCATCCGAGGTCATTCCACTTAAAAGTCGTTGAGTACTTCAAGGCACAGAGTTCAACACAAACATCAAATTGTTTTGGTCGTTGATATTCTAGTTCGTATAAGTTGTTTTTTATCCCTTAGACACAAGGGCAAAGTCAATTGTCCTTACTATATCCGTCAATCTGATCCCCCCCCCCCAAAAAAAAAAAAAAAACAAAAAAAAAAAAAAAACAACAAAAAAACTAGATCAGATATTAGAATTAGAATTACAATTCAATATCAAGAAAGAGGTTCTCTTTATGCATAAAATTACCCTGACCTTATACCAGTTAATTGACTATCATCCTCTGTCCCCTTTCTACGTAAAGGAGAAAGGCCTCAAACAGTCCATTCTGTGAGAGAAAGAACTAATCGAGGGCCGTAGAATGGACAGTTTGAGGCCTTTCTCCTACTTAAAACATGATTTCCTTTGTTTTAAGAATTAAATAAAAATGTACAATACTGGTATCAGATATGACAGGTAGCACACATACAATGACAAGTTCATTGTTTACAGAATGGACAGTCACAGGTAAGCTGGGATGCAGAGCAATTTGTTGAATACTCCTTGTGTTTTCAAATGCAAATAACAAAAGGTTTTGTCTAAAGAATGGACTGTTACAGGTGGATTTTGGGGGATACTTGTATTTATACAAGGATGCGATGCTTCAAAATCAGTTGATAGTTTGTGTTGTAAAGGCATGCATGTTTTCCTCCGATGGAGAGAGTATATGGATGGAGAGAGTAAATGACAGAATCAAAATCTAATGAACTAAAAGATGCACAAATTCAGTGATAGTTGGACCTTGGAACAGAGAATAGTAAGAGTAAAAAAAAAAATATTGGCCAAACTTTGACCCAAAAATGAATTTCTTCTTCGACAGATAATCAAATTCGAATCAAACCTGGAAATGTTTTATTTGAATTCAATTTTTGAGGATATATTGACTTCAGCAGTGTAATGGCGAGATGCAAATTGTGTTCTGAGTGTTGGATAAGCCACGAGCCAAACGTCGACCTGAAAATGTATATTTCAAATCAAATCTAGAAATGTTTCAATATTAATTATTTTCTAGGGAAGCAGTGTAGTGCTCATGGTGCAAACTGTTTTCTGGGTGGTGGATTTAGTATTAGCCGTACTTCATTCTTAAAATGGATTCTTCTCAAGGGAATGATGTTTTCGAAATTTAAATCAAATATGAAATTGTGTCATTTAAATTGAAAATTGAGTTTTGAGTAATGAAATAATGGGCATTATTCATGGATTTAAAAGTTAAAATCGTGCGGATGCTGTGCAGACATTGTTCTGGATTAACTTAGATCTCAACGTTCTTTTTGTTATTTACATGTAAATTAAATCGTATTTAATGTATTTGTTTTGTTTCCTCTTGGGTACATTCCAAAGTTTACCTGTAACTCTCCACTCTGTTTGTTTTAACTGTCCATTCTTTTTGAAAAAAAAACTGAAAGAAGGAATGGACAGTTTTCCAAAAAGAATGGACACTTACAGTTGAATTAATGAATTGTTTGGGGAGTTAGCTCAACAAGGTTTACGTCACAATCATGTTTTAAATAAATATGAAGTAGAGACTTAGCGTTTCATTTCCTATAACACAATTTTCTTAAAGAATCTAATAGAATATCTTGAGTTTTATTTAATATTATATGTAATTAAAAAAATTGCAGGCTTGTATAATATTCCAATTTAAACATATGATGAAAATTTTGTATTTCTATCAAAATTATTTCAAAGGTTTTATTGATTTGAAATTTTGACTGTTTTCAGTTTATTGTCTTCGGGCCAGGTATTGGTAAACTGGCATTGTGAAATTACAATGTTCTTGAATTCTTGAAAACTGATTTTCAATAGATGTGTATTACCAGGTGCTCAAGTAATATTTAGTGCATTGTCGACCAAAACTAAATAATTTGACTTTTCTTTCTCTCAAAAATTCACAGGGCCAAATAGTACCTACATGTAAGTGAATATTGCTCTTTATATAGAAGTTTGAAATAGGAAACGGTATTTTTATTATTATCATTTTTAATTGTAAACATACCTTGTACCCTTAGCTGCATATCTTCTTCAGGACTCTGAAGCTCAAGAATGTTTGCTCCAGGAGCGGCGCTGATGCACCATTCCAAGAAAATATTGTCAAATTACTCCCACAAACATTGTAATTACTTACACAAAATATCAGAAAGTAAGCAATTATTGGAACTATCTAGAAAACAGATAACCATTTTATCGTTGAAAGTTGATTTATTATAGGAAAACAGATGGCAGCTCCGCGATAGCTAAACCAATTCCTTCGCACTCTTTGCAATATAGAGTTATGCCTCGTGATTCCGGACGCATCCCCCCTCCCGGAATCTACCGTATTAATGAAGCGTCTGGATTAATGGTATATCTAAATATATAAATTGTTCCCCACACATTTCGTCTGGAAGGTGAATCGTTCGGATTATTTACGTCCTAAGTAAAGAAGTTACACTGAATATAATTATATGTTTAAAAAAACAACAACAAAATCAAACAAAGAAACCAAAAGAAAAAAAATTTGAATAAATAAACAAATAAATAAAAAATAAAAATAAAAAATTAAAAAATATATTAATAATAAAAATGCTCGGATTGGAATCGATATTAGATTTTTCAGTGAAGTAATACTTTATTTTATCTAATGAATAAAACTGATATTTTTACAGATGTGATATATTCACTGTGAATATATTAAAATTGTTATTTTCATAGTGAAAGTTACTACTTTGCGACAGAACTCTCCTTCCATGCCAAAAGAGTGTTAAAGAAGATTGTCCCTTTAAATAGCAAGAGTGAATTACCCAACCTGACAATAAATAAAACCGACCACATTTCTCAAATTATTTGTTAAAATCTATGCTTACAATTTTTAATCTCATTATCGCATATTTATAAAGTCGCGTTACCTAACAGCATACGCAAAAGAAAAAAAATCTAACACTAATAATAGTAATCATAAGTCAATGATTAATACGGAAGCCCGTTGAGGCCAGTTTAGAGAAAGAAATAATTTTTTTATTGCGTTTAAACGCACTAATTATTGCGTTTAAACGCAAAACATTGCGTTTAATCGCAATAATCATTGCGTTTAAACGCAAAAGATTGCGATTAATTGCAATGTTTATTGCGTTTAAAAGCAAACACTCTCGGGACATGATTTTTTTTTAATCTGAAGGTGCGCTGCACTGGCAAAAAAAAAAAAAAAAAAAAAAAAAAAAAAAAAATCCTGGGTCACTCCTGAATCGAACTTTAAATAACTGAAATTCGTCTATGTAGTTATTCTGAAGATATAAATTTGTTTGCAATGGATAAATAATAGAAATTCAGTCTGCACAATCGTGACGTATCTTTGGCAATGTGTGAAACGTATAACACCAATTGACGAGGCAATAAATTGCCCAACATTGTCATTCCTCTTTCTCAAAGGGGTATGAGGCACAGTTGGACGTTTACGTCTTTAAAAAAAATCCGTTTTATTTGTTACAATATTAATGTTTCTTCCGTGGTTTGCAAGTATATTCCTGATGCTTTCCAGATATTTTTCTTAGGTACAATAGATTTTCTTTCAGTCTGCCATTTCCACGAAAACACTGGCGCCTCACAAAGATATAACAAAATATACATCAATTGTCAATGCTTACCTCCAATGTAATCCTTTGTAATTTATTTAAGGTTACGATTATTTTTTGTACGCTGATGTCTTCTACATCTAATATTTCAGATAGGAAATACAAGTACACTTGTCTTAGATCAGCAATCTCTGATTCACATGACCCTAACTTTGTTTATCTGATTTAAACAAATGAATTAATTATGTTATCTTTTACCTATAATGACTCCATGTAAAACAGATTTACTTATCCATTTTTGCTTAAGATATTTCTTTTTCGACGTTAGGAGAGAGGCTTCATGTTCTCCTGAATAAATTGTACATGTATTATATAGAAATAAATATTGTTTATGCAGTGTTTAAGGTTTCCGCCATCCGCTATTTGTGATACACAACACTATCAAAATTAAAGTTTTCGATGAAAAATTATAGATTTTGAGAACAAATTAAAATTGTGATATATTTCAACAATCATATTCTCTTTAAAAGACCTCCGTGAAAGTTCATCTTAAAAAAAAAGAAAGTAAGTAAGGAAATTAGGTTATTAAGTCACAAAAACCCATAATGAATGAAAAAATATAGATATCACCATGGAAATTTATGTTGTTCAATACCAAGGTTCAAAGCTAATGAACTAGTGTACATGTACTTCCTTCAAATTACAGATAATTGTTTGCATTGCATTGAATCTTAAAAAGGGTGGTCTTCAAATTCATGTAATTAAGTACAATGCCAAGTTAAACACAAGCTTATGCATGGTTTCCTTTGATTAAAATCCTTTTTGTCACGTACGTTTCAGGTAATCTTTCGTTTCTTACAAAGTTTAAGGTTTATTTCAATTATTCTTACATTTAATGTCAAATAAGTAAAAACTGTCATGTAATTTTCTCCAAAGTAGCGCGATGCAAAATTTGTTTTATAAAATCCAGAAAGCGTACATGCTGTTTTTTTTCCATATTCTCATGCAAAGATCAAAGCTATAAGAACTTTAAACTACAGTGTTCCAAGGTACGCATGTGTCACCTGCTATAGCATCATTAAAGATGCAAATAAATCTTAGTGTGGTCAATTATTAGTATTATAGTTCATGCATTTGACTGCAAAGAAATAAAGTATCCACGTATATTAAACTGCGAGAGAATAGCATTATCATGAAGATCAAACGTCAAGGTCAAGTGGACGTGTAAGGCTAGTATGTTTTATATACATGTATTTTGACAAACAATGCATAAGCAAATTATCACAAACTTACCTCTTAAATGTCAAAAATATGTTGTATATCGAGAATATGAACTATTCAAAAATTAACTCAAAGGTCAAGTTAAAAGGTCACCGGGTGAGTAACCATGGTATATTACAAAAACCATAGTACCAAATAATAAATAATAAATGGTTAAAATATCAAATCCATAGCTCTTACAGTTCTTAAGATATAGGGTGTGACAGACGGACAGAGACATACACCGGGTAAAGTGATCCATAAATGTCGCTCTGCAAGTTACACAAAAATGTCAGTTAAATCTATTACGTCTGGGTCGAATGTCATCTTTCATACAGATTGTTATGCCATCATTTTACCACTGATTTTTCTACGATTTTGTTGTTTACGCAATAAGGAAAAGTAGCACAAGGGGGATGTGATCGCTCGGCAAGGGATGCTTTTTCCTCCATGACATCTGATCCATCCTCTTTTTTCAGGGGTCCGTGTTGGCTCTGTTCATAATATATATTATTGTGGGAAATTTGCTCAGTTTGTCTGGAAGACTTTTCAAGGAATCATTCCACTTAAGCCCTTTCATGTTAATTTGACAAGGTCAGTGAACTTGTAAAATTTTCAAATAAATATTCTTTATAATTCGTTGTTCTAGATCTCTTCCAAACTATTTTTAACGACGAAAAGAGTTATACCAGTAGAACAAATGTAATTGGATAATAAAAGCCTAATTATCAATCAATTTGTTACGTACTACATTTTTCAATTTTTATATAGAAGAAATCTTCTTTGTTAAAATTTCTGTTAGCTAAATTTAAAACGATCTGAAATGCTAGACAAGAGGCAATATTACGCGTTAAATTTTGTTAATATGCCATTTTATCCTATATTTTTATTAACATAATTTTAATAAAAATATCTGTATAAATATTATTTCTTTATTGTTTAATAATAATAAATTATATTTATTGGAGTAATTGAAAAATTATGAATTTTTTTTTTAATTACTACGTTCTTCTAATCGACATCTTTGAAAGATGAAGATCTTTGCCTCAAATAGCTCCAAGCCATACAGGATCGATATGATCCTCAAAAAAAGGAGCATTGAGATTGATTTGATTACAGTTATTGTACCACCATCCAGATCCACGTGTAGCCGCACATCTGTTGATGTTGTCGAGATCAAATGTAAGAAAGGGATAGTTTACCAACTGGTGCGATCTGAATGCATCAGCTAGAATACCAGACATGTGTATGGAAAATAAACTGTTGTTTTGAGGTATAAAAACAGATATAATTTGTTAAAAATTCTATATTCAATGTTTTAAGCAAATACATGAACTATGGTAAATGAAAAGAAGAGGGAACACGTTACCTACCAATATTTCCTGACATTTTCCCTAAGGAGAGTCGGTACCCGTCAGTAACATCAGAGATGGAAAATGAAGAATACTGCACTTCAAATGACTGATTCTTTGTAGATTCCATTGTGATGTACAGTGAGTTGTTGTATTTTGTGGTCAGCTTATGAATGACGTCGTTTCCTGAAACGAAAAAAAAAATATTGAAATTTATTATCATCGCAAGTTTTCACACTAATGGTTCCCTAATCCAATTTCATTGATTGAAATGTCCAGGTCCATCAAACCTATATTTAAATTGCTTTGAATATTCAATATTTCAGTAACGCATTCCTTGATCAATCGAATTGTGAAAAGAGATACCAAGCTGCGAAGTTTGCTAAAAAGTTTCCACAAAAGGTGCTGGGTTAACTTCATACTTAAATGTACAGTGGTCACTGAACAAACAAAACACCTGGTCTCTAAACCAAAAGAGCTAATCGCACATACCGTGATGAAAAGGAAACAACAGTGGATACTGTACAGCAGGAAATTAACTAGCAGAGTTAATATTCGCTATATTCGCAGAAATAAAAATTCCGCGAGTTCAACATACAGTGAATAATTCTCCAAAAATTGATAAGGATAAATTGAAATATTACCGATATCTGTGATTAGATTCGATAACTCTATTTCTTTTTCCTTGCAAACATAAAAGCAGTAATTAATATAGTGGAGATGTAGACTGTCTTCCTAATTATGCGAGTGTACGGGTCAATTTATTTACTAAGACGTACTGAGTTGTTTTTTGTTAAACTTAATTGATAAATAAACATCTATAACAAACATTTAATTCTGCCACCCAGTAGAGGTGCGATGTAATTATCTGTAAAACATGTAGGCCTATTGTTAGATTTCACCCGTGCGTATATCTTTAATCAAAGCACTTACGTAGTAAAGACAACACTGTTACACATTAATTCAATTTTATTAACAGTTCAACATTTTGATTACCGGTACTGACAACTTATTTAGATTCAGGGAGATTTGAATATACTGCAGTAAACACTACTCTGTACTCTACTCAAAACATACCTACATGTATGAACGAACACCAGCGAAAGGGCCTTTTTTTGTACATGAATGTATTGGATACGACTTGAAATCACTTGAATAAATCACTCGAGTATAGATTCATATGTATTTCAAAAATATTTAATAAAAAGAAAGAAAAAAAAACAAGAGAAAGAAAGTTTATCTGAATGTGTAATATTGTAAATCGTACAACATTTTGTCTTCTAATCGGGATCCGGTGTTTCGTTCTATTTAATCGGGTTCAGAATCGACATAATACGCAAGGAAAATACTTTCAGTGTGGAAAGTTTTTTTGTATAATTTTTCCTTTCCGCGAATTCAAACGACCGCGATTTGCTGCAAGTTGAACAAATCGCGATCTTTTCCGACCGCGATTTTAACCTGCTGTACAGTATAGGATTTAAGTATACTAGTATTTCAAAGAACTTAATGTTATGATCAGATTACCAAGCCAATAATTCCCTTGAACATCCCCAAAACCTCGCCTGTATTCTTAAGAGGTAGTGTTGAAATTAACACGGGCATTTTCTCGATTCCTGTGCTGAATGACCTAAAGTATTAAATAGATCTATTTCAGAAAAAAATATAATTCTACACGATGCTAACTTGTCTTTCTTACTGAAGAGAATATAGAATATTAAGTCTCTTATTCAAATATATTAATTCGAAAAATGTTAAGAAAACTTAAATACATTATTTTTTTTATGTTTAAATTAAAAGGTCAAGAAGTATTAAGAATATATTTAGATCTATACAATACCGTCCAGCCTCCTTCAATTGAATCCATATCACAAAGAACAACAGTAGGTCCAAGGAGTGGATAAATGTCATAAACACCAGTCTTCTTTTGACCACAATTATATATGTCGAAGCAATCAAAAGGGTAACTGCAAGCTATTTATAAAATATTAATTTTATATAAGAAATGAAAGAGAGCATACTTCGTTAAACACTGTTTTACCACGTTAATGTATTTCTCAGCTAGTTATCTAGAATTATAAAAAAAATGTTTAAGTTACAACAATGAATATATCATAACAAAATTGCGATCTTGTTGTGACTTAAAGATTTTGAAAATAACATTTAATGACCACATCCTTTTACCTATAAACATGAAAGAAAGTAAAAACATGGGTGATAAATCCAACTTCACTATCACATGTAATTTAAGGCAAGCAAATATATTTTGTATATTTCTGCCGTATCCTACCGGGTTTTCCATTTATAAGAATTTTCATATATATAAAACTTCAAAGGAGATTTCACTCTAGCAGTATAAGATGACTGTATGCGTAAGGTTATTTTTCAAGAAATCAAAGCTTTTATAATAAACAAATGTATATAATGAATACCCGAACCTTTATATAAAATTATTGCCAAAATTAAGTCATAAAGTGTTAAGGTAATTTTAACAGGGCACTTTGATTAAGTCAATTTGATATATTTAAGGAATGTTTTAAATTTTTGTGTGAGTTACTGGTGTGTTAATCACACAGACTTGTCACGTAGGCATATTTCAAGAAGCGCGCTAGCGAATTTTATATCACAGCGTTGCTTTACAGAAAATAATCAAATGTGTAAACAGTTCTAGATAAATATTATTATTACATACAGTGATCACGAAGTATGTATGAATCTTAATATTAGCAATATTCAGGAATATTCAAGGTGTCAAATTAAGTGTACCTAGACTTTGCAGAAAGATCTCTAGTATACATACCTGTGGACAAACGGTTCGTGAGTAAATCTCTGAGTTCCTTGTTCTCTGTCCTAGTTTTTCTACTTCAAGCTGAAGCTTTATCTGCTGGGTTACTAGTGTTTCCATAATCTTTTCATTGCTGTTGCACTCATCTTTTTCATCTAAGTGAAGATACGGAGAACTTGTACATAACAAGCCAGACATGAAAATAACTGTCCACATTATTGCCATAATATAAACTTTCTGATCTTTTTACTTTTATTTTTTTTTTTTAAACTCATTTAGTTTAAATACCTGCCGAACAGGAAATGATAAATTACCTTATGTTAAACATCAATCGAAATATTCCTTTTTTATCTGCAGCCATGAATTTGTAACAACAACTTAGGGGCGTGTCTTACCAAAATTTGGTGACATAATAACACGTTTCTGAGAAACGTATTTCAACTTAAACCATCTCTCTAGTTTTCTTTTGTTAATTCATTTTCAAAGGTTTCGTGCTTGCCTTCCTCTCAATTTTTATTGCTGCTCTTGATCTTTTACCTTGATTACTGTATAATCTTTACATCTCACTTTGATCATATATGTCTCTGCTGGTGGATAGTTTGTTCTTGCGTATACTTCTTCGTCATATCACTCATTTAAGAGTGGTACAAAGAATAAGCAATGAATCATACTGGATTTTCCGTATGGTTCACAGTTTGCAATTTCAATTTGCACTTCATGGCTAGCTTTGTGGTATTTTTCAGTCGCTTCTGTTACTTTTATATCATAACTTATCTTACTACTGCTTACTGTGAAATTATTAACTTTCGTGGGGGTTTAATTTTCGTTGTTTTCCAGGTAGGAAGAGACCAACGAAACGTAAAATAGTTATGTATAACTACACAACTATTCTTCATCCACGAAATCAAATCCCCATGAATTTAAATTTTTCCTCAAACCACGAAAATTTGACCCCACGAAAATATATGATTTTACAGTATTTGTTATAGAAATCTGTGACACAATTCAGAAATTATATGTTTTGGTATCGGGAAATGTCGGGAATTTACACTTACCAACTCTTGATTGAAGATCAGGTTGATAAAAGTGTATGGGAGACCCAACTAATTTTGTAATAATGGGTCTAAAATTAAACAAGCGAGATAACATTGCTATTTATATTCCAATTAATTGGAAAAAGTGAACTCTTTCTCCCTCTCTATGACATGTAAAATAGGCATGTAACAAAGGAGCAACCTGACCTAAAAGTATACACTTTTTTCCTGACTATTAAGGAAAAAGACAAACCGTTTCCCGAGGTAGTGGGAAAGACTTCACAAAAAAACTTTGCGCTGCGTGAAGCTGAAATGCAAGGCAACAGTTCCAAAGGCCCCATGATAATGAAGCAATGATAATGAAGCCGACACATGTGAAGGTTACCCAAAATATTATGATTTAAGAAAAATGCTAAAAACGCACTTTTTTAAAGATCGAATTTCCAGATTTGTAAAGCGACACCGTGACCCACCAATGGGAAAAAATGACGAACATAGAATTTTTACATGACCTGTGCAAATTTTGTTCAATTCCTGAAAGTATTAGGTTTCAGAAAATTACAGGTTTTGGAACATAAAAATCTAATTTTAAGGAGAAAAAAAAAATTTGTATGGCCCACAATAAAAATATTGTTTAACTTCTCCCTCCATATTGTACGCGTGCGCAGAAAAGTTGAAGAAGCTACCATGGTCTCAAGTACCAAAAATGATTGTCGGTTGCCCAAGAATTTTGATACAGTTTTCAGAAAAGATTATTAGAACATATTCTTGCCTTAGCATGCTTCAAATGAATGTTGTTTACAAGTTTACGCTAAAAATAAAAGTGGCAAGACCTTGACATGCCTAATAACAACAAAACGGTAGATAAAACCTTTAAGCTACCTCGTTTGTTATATTTTTGAAAATTTTTTGATACTATAAAAACTGGAGCTTTTTACTTTGATTTATATATTTGATTTTTACGGAAGCGTATTAGTGCCACTTGGACACTTTTTTATTTTTCATTTTCCATACTTTAATCTGTAAATTTTACACTTTAATCAGTAAAATTTACACTTTAATCTGTAAAAATTACACTTTAATTTGTAAATTTTACACTTTAAGAGGGAAATTTTAAACTTTAATCTGTAAAATTTACACTTTAAAGTGTTACATTTACACATTAAAGTGTAAAACTTACAATTAAATGTGTAAAATTTACATTTTAATCTGTATAATTCACATTATCAATTTGGCAACTTCATACATCTTAAGTAACACGCTATAAAGCTAACAGACCATGATAAAATTCAATTTTGATTTCGTGTTAACAATAAATGTGGGAAAAAAAATTACTTATCAGATATTATATATATATATGGATATAAAACAAATAATAAGCAATCTAGTAAGACTGATATATGTGAGACTTTCATAGAATATTTGAAAGAATTATGAATTGCGTGAAAGTGAAGAGCAAATCAAACACAAATATCATCTCCTCGATCAATGAATATAATGTTGATATCATTATTTGCAAATCATTCGATGCGCTCAGCAGTTCAATTACATATTGATAGCATAAATTTAATTACATTCTACATGCATTACCAGCAACAATTGAATTACTTACTGAATTGAAAATTTTTAAATAACCAATTAATATATTAATTATTAAAGAATATACATGTATAAATCATTAAAGTATATGAGTTTATATTAATTTGGAATAGCATAGAAATTAATATCCTCTGATTCAATAATGTATCTTTATTGTTTTAAAATAACCGTAATTTTAACTGTTATATTTTACATAATGATCATAATCCCATAAGCTTGCAATATCAATCTGAACTGCAAATGAAAAGACAAAAATATACGATATATCCTCACTAAGATATTAACAGTGGTGAAGGAGAAACTTCAAGAGTACTGTGCAACAATATATTCGAGAAGTGGTGTAAATCAGATTTGGATACTTAAAAATTCCAAGGAACTTTTGGAAAATTTGAAATCACAAGATTTTACCAAAATCAACAGCTTAAAAACTTACGACTTTTCAACTTTGTACACAACCATTCCCCACGATAAATTAAAGTCCAGGCTTTTTGATATCATTGACAGCTGCTTTTTCAATAAAAATGGAACTCGTAAATATACTTACCTTGTCATTGGTCATTTGTAAAATTATTTTGTTAAAAAACATTCTGATTGTTTACACAAGTACTCTGAAGTTGACATTAAAAAGATGCTTGAGTTTCTGATTGACAATATCTATGTGGTTTTTGGAGACCAGGTCCTCCAACAATCTACTGGAATTCCCATGGGTACCGATTGCACCCCGTTATTAGCAGACCTTTTTTTTGTATTCATATGAAGCAGAATTTGTCCAAAATCTTGTACGTGAAAAGAAGAAAACACTTGCTGTGGCCTTCAACTCGACATTTAGATATATCGACGACGTATTGTCAATTAACAATGGCTATTTCCATTCTTATGTCGATACGATATATCCTTGTGACCTTGAGATAAAAGATACCACAGAGACTGACACATCTGTTTCATATTTGGATATTTTACTAGACGTTAATGGTAATCTAACAACCAAGCTTTATGATAAACGTGATGACTTTAACTTTTCAATCCTCAACTTCCCTTACTTATGCAGCAATATACCTTCATCACCTGCATACGGGGTATACATCTCTCAGTTGATTCGATACGCAAGAGCATGCTCTACGTATGTACAATTTCTAAAACGAGGTAAATTATTGACAAATAAGTTGATGAAACAAGAATATCAGCTGTCTCGTTTAAAGTCATCATTTCGTAGTTCTATGGTCGATACAATGACCTTGTCAGCAAATACAATTTATCATTGAGTCAAATGCTGACTGACGTTTTTCACACTAATTGTTAGGCCATTATTTACACACTGAATTGTCGACGGATTTTTCCATTATTTCCCGATCATGACAAGGAGCACACGGCGGGTGTGACCGGTCGGCAGGGGATGCTCACTCCTCCATGGCACCTGATCCCACCTCTGATGTTTGGAGGTCCGTGTTTGCTCTGCTCCTATTTTGTATTGATTAATGGACTTTTGAGCTTGAATACTGTTCGTTATCGCCATTTATTTCATATATATTTTTAACTGTTCGTCGCTCTTTACTATAGTACTAAATCGATATACTGGATTGAAAGCAGATTCCCTATATTTTGCTGAGGGTAAATTAAGATGCCCATGAGCAAATCGCCCATCCTTACTTATCATATATACATGCATAAACTTTTATGCAAACACTTGTGAACATCTCAGTTTTAGACAAATTTTTCAATTCTCAAAAGATTAACACCATGCAACGACCGTTCGATTAATACAGATTACTTAATAAATTGTACAGATTAAAGTGTAAATTTTACAGATGAAAGTGTAAATTTTACAGATCAAAGTGTAAAATTTACAGATTAAAGTGTAAAATTTACAGATTAAAGTGTAAAATTTACAGATTACTGAATAAATCTTTACAGATATCAGTGTAAATTTTACAGATATAAGTGTAAATTTTACAGATTAAAGTGTAAAATTTACAGATTAAAGTGTAAATTTTACAGATTAATTTGTAAAATTTACACTTTAATGTGTAAAATATACAGATTGAAGTGTAAATTTTACAGATTAAAGTGTAAATTTTACACATTAAAGTGTAAATTTTACAGATTAAAGTGTAGAATTTAAAAAAATAAAAATTGTCAGAATGGCACCTATACGTAGATTTTACTTTTGTTTTTTGATACTGCATTAATTTCTCTATACCTTTTTTCTTATTGTTTTGCAATTTTTAAAGCTCTAAGTAACAGTCCAGGTAAAAATCATGCAAAAGGTGATACACCGAGGTTCCCATAATTCGATGATTTTCAAAAATAGATCTAGATTTCTCTTGCACTATGATCCTTGTATGTAAAACGAAAAATCTGTTGCTTCACGGTTACTTTGGAAACCTGGTCAGAGAAATTTCACTAGGAACCAGTTAATTTTTCCATGTGGATGGACAAAAACATTACTTATCTTTTACATGTAGACTTAAAACTGAATATAAATATTACTTAATTCTAATTTACTGGTATAATTAAGATTTTTTTTTAAGTATTTAAACCTCAGAAGACATTGAAAAGAATTTTAAAATAGTTCTGTAATAGTCATTTGAATATCTACATGTTTTTGTGTTTTAATGATTCAGGATTTTTTTCTTGATTTTGACAATGTTAAAGGTCATTTTAAAATTAATACCTACGTGTAATACAGTTGTTGCGTGTATTTCACATAAAAATGGAGAACTACCTCTTTTGGAGTTGTCTAGCAACAGAACTGAATGTTGTTGATAGATGAAGAGCGAAAAATGGTCAACTTTCAAGATATAGAAAATATTTAAAAAAAAATGTTTTTAGAAATAAATCGATGATGTATAATTACTTATCTTCATGAAAACAGTAAATTTCCCATAGAAACACTGCAAAGAGATCTATTTTTTGGATGTTTGTATACAGTTATAATAGATAAGAAAAGACACTTTCTCTTAAAATTGCAGTTGGACAAAATTGCCAGTGTAACATGGGTCTGATAAAAGTATTTTTAGAACTTAATAAACTTCTGATGGCAACAATTCTGAACATTTAACAATTTTTTTGAAACTTTGAACCTAGTATCTAAAGACTACATAAATATTTTAATGAGGAACTCAATCATCTTTTAGTATCATCTTTGGAGTACTTGTGGAGAATCAGAAGGAGTTTTAACAAAGTAAGTTTATAGATGTCCAAGGACAAGATAGGAAAATTTTCAAGTTCCATTTTTTTTTTAAGTTGCAGTTGTCCAAAATGTCAAAAGGTCTGATATTTGATTGTTCTTAAAAAATGAATGCATAAAGTGCTGAAAAGCCAAATTTATAATGCTATTTATTTTGACAAAACTTGGTGATTTTGTGATAACAAAATTTCAAATTTTCACAAGAAAAGTGCATAATCAACATTTTTTATCAATGTTATCTGCAACACTTCTCCAATATGGTCTCTCACAGTACTGAAGAAGTTTCTCCTTCCTTTTATATTTTCGTGAGCAATAAAAAAGGGGATTTTTATTGTGATGGAATCTGGTATTCATATTGGGGCATATATGGTAGTTCAATTCCTTTTAGTTGATGGAAATATAAAACAAAAATGAAAACTGAAGCTTGGCTTTGAAGAATCTCTTTTTCTGTGAGGGGACAATGAGTATGAAATATCACAACGAGTGTTGGTAAAATGGGTAGGCAAACCCAGACCGGGACATTCTTTAAAACCCGGGTTTTACTAGATTTTTCAATTTTCTGCATATATTTTAAACTTAAGCAATAGTAATGAAATTTTTCTGATTTTGTTTCTAATAGTTGACAAGTGTTCGCTTTAAAAATTGCACTGAAACAATTTTCGGGGCGATTGTTTATTTCAATTTTGGTAAAATAGATGGGCTGTGACAAACAAATAATTTACAGTATTTTGGATAACTGTGATGATTTACCCATAAACTTTTGAATTATTAAGTTTTAATGTTGTTTAAAAGATATAAATTAAAAAAAAAATTATTTCATGACAAATGCTATTGGCATATAAATATACCTAGAAAACCTGGGTCATTAAAACCAGATCCGACAACCCCGGACAAAATGAAAATTCCCAAATAAAAATATTAATTTTAATATAATTTACTTTTTCTGCAAAACAAGTGGGATGGCCTAGACTTGTTTGTCTTTTTATATGTCACGTCTTTACAAAATATTAGACTGATTATATGCCGCTGTGTGATCAAATCAGATACAAATAAGGTTCGGTATGTATAACAGAAACATATATATGAAAATTTCTTAAAATGAAATACAAATAAAGTCATTACTATAGAGTATCTCGGTTAGCATTGAGTAATGCCACAATCTCTAAACAGCTCTATAAATATATTGGAAATTAATTCGGAATTTTCAGATTTGTCCTGGGTGATCGCATCCTGTTTTAATGACTCAGGGTTTCTAAAATTTCTGAAGAGCGATAACACTTAGTATGGGAGAAAATATTATTTATTGTTAATGTGTGATGTTAAACATCAGAATAATTAAACATATTTTGGTTGATCGCCGCAATGATCAAATATATTGTAAAATGTCGTTAACAACTGCCTACCGATTTTACCAACTATGAAATAAAAATCGACTAGAAAATCGAAATTCTTATGTACTTCAAATTGAATTTTACTGCAAATGCTTGTCAACGTATTAGAAATATAAACTGAAAATTTCAATTAGATTGATTAGGTACTACATGTAACGCCAAAAATTGAAAAATCTTGAAAAACCCGGGTTTTAGATTTGCCCCAGACCGGGCTTGCCTACCTATTTTACCAACACTATAGCAAAACTAAGTTCCTTAAAAATCAGTTGCACTAATGAGACTTACGAACAAAAAATATTTATTGCATGCATTATAAGATAGAACAAGTAGATTTCTATGGATAAACCAGTAGATGTTATCATGCAAAGCTATCTCATTCTTTTTTCTGAATCACTGAAGACAGAAGAAGAGATGATTTTACTTCGCAGCTATTTAATATGAGATTTCATTATCCACTTTATACTTTCTAACCCTGTAAAAGGGATAAAATGTACAAAGACATAATTATCAATTAAAGTCTTATTTTTTCAATTTTGTCAATTCATTGATATTGAAGTATGTTTATTAAAGTAAATGACATATCATAGCTATTTTGCTATATTTTTCCCCCCTAAAAATATAGATAATTTGCAATGTTATAATATTTCTAATAAATCTATTCAAAAGTATGGATTGATACATATATTTGGTACATTACTTGATGTTCATCTTGTCTGAGAGATCGTAAACGTCGTTCTCATCAACATCAACGTTTAATGGGTCACTTAATATAACATCTAATTAGACCAATCTTTTACAAACATAATTGAACTTATCACCACACGGATAATCGTGCCATTCAGTGTATGAAGGAGTAATTATCGCGCAATTTTGCGCCCTCCCACCTCCAGGTTCTCCTTTATGCCAGTTACTGTACATATACTGAACTCTGATGTTGTTAGAAACAAACACAAAATTGCCTTCATGGGCCAAATCTGTCACCCCAATCCATATATGAGTATACCCTGTAATACCAAAATATGCTTTAATTATTAATGTAGAAAAGTTTTTATTGTCTTTTTTGTATTATACTTTGAAATATTTGTTTTCTTACAAAGAATTATGTTATATGAATGTGTACTTACATACCTTGAATAGCACTTTGAAGTCGCAACCAGTTTTCTTCTGCACTTCCATAAAGTTCAACTAATGCTGACTGCTTTCCGATGCACTCGGCCTAAAAACATAGTTTTTTCATCTTTACATATTTTAAATTAAAATTAAATATTTTCAATAGCCCAACTATTATTTAAAAAATTAATGTTGAAATTAAAGGTATAATTATTTATGATCTTTTTGTTTAAAGTAAAAAGAAAAAAGAAACAACTTCATACAAATAAAATTATCATTTTACTCCGTTATTTAAGTCATTAAGTGACAGAATTTGCATCCTCTGTCAACCGGTCACACCCTTCATGTGCTCTTTGCTAAAGTTATTTCCTACCCCTTAACAAATAGGCAAATTCATTAATTATGGTGTCATAATTAAATTTCAGAAATTTCATTAGTAGAAATTGAGAACTGGAATCGTTTCCATCTGAAAACCGCAATTAATAATTTCTTGACAAGACAGTAGATTAGATATTGACCCTTTGATATATGTACCCCCCTCTCTCCTCCAAAAAAACCATTTAAGTAATTACTTACAACAGCTCCATTAAATGTGCTAGTCTTGTTTGAAAACCAATAACAATAATCTTTAAATAGTGTCCATTCCTCACCACAGGCTATAAAGATAAACATGAATACATAAGTGAATTACAAATGCTTAGAATATTCTAACAGCTTGTCAAGAAATGCTAGAGTCTGTTAAAAATGGATATGTTTCCTTGAAATGATAAAAAGGATATCTATACGTTATTTGAAACTATCAACATACCTATGCGGGTAGGATAAGGCTGTCCCAAAAATCTCGCAGTGCACCATATGTAGCAAGTTATCTGAACTACCTAGATATAACGTCATAATAGCATACATGTATCATGTCACGGCACTGTAAACCTGAGCTGACATGACGAGGAAAGTGTCATAACTTTTTACAAACCTCTCATCTGACATTTAAAAAGACTTTTAAGTTAATGTTGAATTCAACTGTCTGGGTTGTTCCTTTTAGTTTCAATATGTTGTTATGAGGAAGAACATTTGCACTTATGTCGTTGTTCTTTTCTGTGTTCTGATCCGCAGAGTATTCAAAGAATAAAAAAAGTATTATGTGAAATGCTCCACTTTACACACCCGAAGATAAAAGTATGATTTGTAAATCGTGTATGTATCATACTGGGACAAACAAGGATAAAGTGAAGATATTCTGTTTGTGAGTCTATACGAAAACCATGTTTTCTAACTTAATCTCGATGGGAGAGTGTATGATTTTTTAGGATACTTTGTATAAATTGTGATGAAGAGTTGAAACTCCCCACCGCCCCTATTTCAGACTTGACTCGGGCGATATTCATATACAGTAGTTATGATTGATTGATATTTATGAAATAAAAAGTTGCCAATGATTGTGCCTTCACATGTGCCACATTTCTGCAGTGTTGGAGCATTAAGTGTCCGTGACGTGAAAAAGTCATGTGAATTCACAAAAATGCATTAATATAATACATGATAAAACTATCTTTGCAAATTGGCTTTACTTATATATTAAATAGTAAACATACTGGATCCAAAAACTAGTTCAAAATAAACAAATGAATAAAATGAAGCATTTAAGCTTTTGGACAGCCTTACCATAGCTGCAAACTTCGTATCTTACCAAATACTGAAAGAAAAAAAACCCCCAGAAATTATTGAATAAAATGTTATCACCTGCCGAACAAAATTGTATTTTAGCAATGCAGAGCACTTTTTATTGTTTTTTTATTCAGAATAATTTACTGTTAAAACATGGCTTAAAGTTTAAAAAAAAATAATTATGATTGTATAAAACGCAAAGCATAAGGGTTTGCTAAAATACCACACCACAGCTTGCAGGGAGGAATGTTTAAAACAAAACCTCAACAATTTATTTAATAGAATCAATGTAACAACATATCTTCTTTTTAAAGGACTTCCTTTTTCATTTTATCATTTAGAACTTTTTTTCATCGGCGTAATATCATTGACGTAACGTAGCGTAAAGCAGTGAGAGGAGACTCAGGGATTATCATAAACCATCATAAACCACGGGAATCCTATATATATATATATATATATATATATATATATATATATATATATATATATATATATATATATATATATTACCTTTATCAAAAGCTCATTTTTTCATAGCATAGCCACTAGATTAGATTATAATGTATGTATTAGAATTCTCCAAAATAAAATTGCTGGCCTGCATTTGAATCATTTTATTAAAGCATGATACCATCTCGACAGATAGACAAGCATATAATAAGTCATATAATAAGAGTGAAAGACTAAGTGCACATTTTTAATTGATGGAAATATACATAGAACATTGATATCCATGACATTGCACCGTTCGTGGTTTGCTATTCATATTACTCTAAATCATATTACGTCTGCTATGATATCAGTGCACGGTAATGTGTAAGGTAAATTTTGTTGATTAAGATAATAAAATACTTTAATTTTCTTTTCTGTAATTTATCCGACTAAATAAGATATGAAAAAAGTTGTGTAATTTGCAAACATAAGCTTCAGAGTGAAAAAAAAATCTGTTACCTGAAGTTCGCTGCGAGGTGATATTTAACAGTGCCATTTTTGATGCATTTTGATCCTCTCGAATTTTTTGCAATGCTTCGTTAACTGAAATCGTAAACAAAGCTAAACTACCTTCGACCTCCTTCATTGTTTTATTCATTTGTTGCAACTGAAATCGGAAAGCGTCGTTTTCGTTTTCGACTTGGTTATATTTCTGCTGCAAATCAAGAGTTTGGTTGTTTAAAGTGCTCGACATATTTTCACTTTTAAACATATTAAGTTGTTCTTTTTCTCTCAGTTTTTCTTGAATATCCATTAATTCATTATGAAGTTTAATGTTATCGTCCTTTATTATCTTCTGTGTTGCCTCCAGTGAACCTACTTCCTTGACCACGTCACTAAGCCTCGTCTTCAAGTTCTCACTACTGTTCTTTCTATCTAATGCATCCATTACTAAGTTCTGAATTTTTTGCACCATTGAAAATCGCACTAGACTCTCCTGATTTAAAATTTCACGCAATACACTTGACTCTTTTACAGACGTTGTACTGGACAACAATGCTCCTTTGTATAAGGTACCATTTTCACGTAAACTTAAGTGGCCATGTGTCACGTATATAGAAAGTCAGAAATATATCATCTGTAGACTCGTCATTTCAGCCTAGTTTAAGATTATGCTGGTGCTGGTCTTAGGGTCTTCTCTACAACTGCACACCAAAGATTTCTTTATGTCCGATATAGATTTCTCTTGCATAAATAAGAAATATAAGATAAAAGTAATGCTGAATAGCAAAGATTTGTCTAAGATTATCTCTCTCTGAACCATATGTTTACTGATATGTATGTATGACATGAAAAGCAGTTGTAATGTTTTATGTTTAATGCCTCTAAATATCAGAGATTTAGTTAGCTATATTTTGCTTTTGATGTTTCCTTTTCCACGCTCAAGAGCAGAACTCTAGGTGTTCTTCATAAATTATAGTACAAATATATAGATATACGACGTTTAAAATATTTCAAGGATTTCAGCCTTTTTTTTTCAGATGTACCGTTCGTGGTAGCGTAGAAGTAAGATGATCGCTTCCAGATCGTGAGGCAACGGGCTTGATTACATTTCCCGGTACCATGTCAAATAAATGATGGAACATAAGTAGTAACTGTTCTTTCGCAAGAGCCTAGCATTAGACATTAAAGTCATCGGTCTAAACAACCGAGGTCCCGTGTCATGGTAGGCGTTTACGCGACAAAGAACCCTCACTGCTCAATGATCATAAGTACTTAGTAAAGGACTAAATTTGAAGCCCTTCACCGATATATAGTGACATCTCAATGAGTTAGAATTTGTCACAAGGGACGCAAAACAACAAACAAACAAAATAAACTTTGAGGTCTATTGCCTCTTGGTAGAACCCACTACTAAAAGTTATAGATTGATTGTTTATTGTTTACCGCCGAGTGTGCAGTCTTTTAGCTATATATTATCGACCACAAAATTATATATTCGATATAAAGTTATAAAGAAAATGAATTTCATACTTACTAAAATTTAAATAGTGGTTATAAAATCCATTATTCTTTAAAACTTCCTTTGAGTATCGAAAGCTCAACGCTAAATTAATCGAATTCCTAAAAAGTGTTGAAGACACAGTGTGTATATTAGTTCTTGAGACTCAATTTAAAATATGTAAGAAATTAGGATACAATTTCACACGAGAAACTGTCGAATATAGATGTAGACCTTTAAGCCTGAAATGTGCTACATCTATGGTAGATATCATTTAAATCAGGCTGATAATTTTGGTCGTCACCACATCAACGTCATTGATATGATAGGTGTAATTTAGCTACAAAGGCACTCGATCCCAGTGTAAAAACGCCTATTGAATCTGCATAATTGATCTCCATAATGTTGTTGACACCGTGTTGTATGATAAACAATTATCATTGTTTCAGATTTCATGTACAGCAGGCAGGGCAGATTTCATCTTCATTTGATCATTCTTTGTTTTAAACTGTCAAAATGTGGTTTATTGAGAAGGATCCTTGCATTGCTATTATTGATGACCTTTGCTTTTTGTCACGGTTGGAAAAAAAAACTCAGGAACGTCTGCCCTCAACAAAAAGTGTTCTCTAAACCTCTTTAAAACATTCGGAACATTTTCCAAAGATTAATTTCTTGAGATCCAGTTAAGATAGTGAGATTTAAAAAAAGAAACTAATAGTATTCAATATATGAAATGAAGAAGTTATGAAGTCTGGCGTGCAAAAACTTTTCATAAAATCATTATTGCAGTACGATGAATATTTTATATGAAAAACCTCTGTACAGATATTAAAGACAATGGGATTCTTATATCCACATTGGCATTTTTTTATTTGCTTTAGTATACATGTAAAAATTCTGCAAATCCGTTGGGGGGGGGGGAGGGTTTGCCCCCTCGATCTGCACATGCTCTTCTTTTTTCCTTAAGCGGAGGATAAAAATTCTCTTAATTAGTTTTTTTTTTTTAAAGTGGACTCCGAGCGAATGCAAAGGACCCAAGGGTTCACTCTGATGCTAGACTGTGTCCGGTGAAGCACCCTAGCAGATTCTAATTTGTTGCATGTGTTTTATGTTAATTTTGTTTTTTTTTTAGTCTGGAAACGAGAGAATATAAATAGCAGTATATTTAAGATATCTGATTAAAAGTATTTTGAATATTTCTTTTCTATCCAAACTATTTGACATTTTAGGCAATACTCAGCAGAATTAATGGTCATATATCTGAAGATTTTGTTGACGGAGTCGATGATTCCCAATGTTATCCACATTGATACATTTAAATTGAAGGAAAACTCTGATGTCATCGTGGATGATGTCAACATGCAAACTAAGCTTGATACGGTGTTTGAGGAAAGAAAAGAGTAAAATTGTTGAGTGTGCCTCTGAGGTAGATTTAGAAGAAGGCTGGGATGAGTAATTAATCATTCAAGATACCGCTATGGAGCAACTAGTTTTCTCGAAAGGATGTTAGGGATCCACCCCCCCCCCCACCCACCCCCAGACAATCTGTATATGATTTTTATATGCCATTTAATCTAAAATATGCGTGAAATATTGCAATGTTAATTCAACACTTAACTCAACATTAATTTAACGTTAAAAACGTAAATCCATGTATATGCTCGATTGTCATTAATAAAACGTTAAATATTTAATATTTAATTAATGTCATTTTAACGTTAAATGAACGCACAATGAAGGCACAACTGGCTGTGTATTGACAATTTATCTTTTAAACAAGTGCACAGAGAAACGTATCAGTAATTATAAACAATTATAGTGTTGGCGTTGTCAAACAACAAACAAAATAAATATAGAAAATTGGTATGCATATAAGATTTATTTCATTCTAAAAGGAAAATATGTAAATAGTTATATATTAAGTAAAAACAGCATACGACGAACGGGAAGGTCAAATGGCTAAGTTATTATTTTCATTTTGAACTCATAAACGTTGAGCGCCGTGCAAGTGCACTGTCAAAAGCTAAAATCAAAACGCACACTCAAATTGAACAGTTTAACAGTAGTAGCTGTTGAAATTCCTCTTCCATGAATTGTAACTTTCCCAAAAGATAATACAGGGCTTTTTGAATATAGTTCACATTTGCTGACGAGGCAGGGAATTTAAAAACTTTAATATATTAAGCTTATTATAACGCGCGTTACTCAATTTGATTTTACACACTGTTGCAATTTTGAGACTAAAAAAAATAAGAAGAAGAATAATTCAATGCTTAAATGTTTTGACCATATTCATTGGCGTCATAATGCTCATTTACCATTAATTCAATCTAAATTCCGAGCATTCGGGTAAGCTTTAGGGGGGACCTATGTCGTTCCACGCCAGAGCAGTGGTATTTGACGTCCCAGTAGTGGCCTTCTTTCTATCGCGTGTGCACTTGACTTTTGCACTTATGTACAGACATGGTGTGATAAATACATATTCAAGCAGTCAGTCATAATGAAATAGATTGTGCATATAGACCATAGACCTTATAAACAACAACAACAACAACAACAACATCATCAAAAACAACTACAACATAAATCTCAAAAATTTTCTGCAATTATGAGGTCATTATTATTATCAGCGTAATTTCTTTCAAATACAAATGTGTAATAAAAAGATTTTTTTCTTCTAAGAGTTCTCTTTAATGCGATACATTAAAAAGTGCTGCGAGATTAATTAGGTGTAACTTACACTATGTTTCAAATCATTTTTGTGCTCTTGATAAACATTATGACAGAAAAAAATGTCTTTAATTTGTTTTATTGTTTTGGCTCTTTCTTGGTGTGTGTGTGTGTGTGGGTGTGTGTGTTTTGTTTACATTTTTGGTAAAATTGAAGCTGTCAAAAAAGTGACCATTTCTAAGCATCATACAGCGTTTTTGCACACGCTGCAGAATGAAAATAAGCATATCAAACTGTACTTTAAATTACTTCAAATATTTTTGAGTTATGACAATGGAAGACATTAAAATTAATAAATGAAAAATAGAACACACAGAGAGATTTTTTGGGATATAGCCTCCCTCCCTTTTAATGTACCTATACTATTGTTTATTCGAAAGTGTTAAAACTCTAGTTTCGGAGTTTATAATATCGTCCTAATTATCTGCGCTTATAATATCATTTGAACTTTGCCTGAAAATCTTCTTTAGAGGACAAAATTTCCTATGAATATCATTTGAAGAGAAGTGAACTGACAGTGAGGCAATCATTCCGGTATTTATGGAGTGCGAAATGAAGAAGGAATCTTTTTTTTTTAAGATAAAAGAATGTTTTTTTTTTTGTTTTTTTTTTTTAAAAAGATTGCAACAATATTATGCAAAAATTAATTAAATCAAAACACAGTAGGTTTAAATTATTCAAATGCATTACCTAATGGCTTGAATGCCTTTCATTCATTTTCAAAAAAGATAAATATGACTTAGGGTCACGGGCCTCTTGAATTTTTATAGATATCGGTATATATTCCATTAATTTCATTACGCATATATGTATGTTACTTTCCTCTATTTTCTTTTAATCATCATTTTCGATTGGTAAAGATTTTTCCCTTTATCAATGGAAGGATACCAGACATTACTTAAGTGATCTTCAAAAAAGGGGGCATTGAGATTTGTCCATGTACAATATTTGAACCACCATCCAGATCCACACCGAGACCCGCATCTGTGTTGGTTGTCGTGGTCAAATGTGGAAAATTTCTCATTCACTATATTGTAACCTCTGAAAGCATCGGCTGCAAGGAATATAATAATATCTTCAATTAATAAAAAAAATACTTTACAATTTGATACTTAAAAACCAAACGTTTTGTCCGAAAGATTTTTATTTAAAAAATTACAACATATCTGTGTTGTAGAGAAAACTGATAACAATATATTTTTTACTGTGTTTATATTATACCATTGATGCATTTGTAACATTCACTACACCTTAATCATTAATAGAACCATAGCTACTCACTGATGCTTCCTATTTTTGTTCCTAAAGACAACCTGTAGCCATCAGCCTCAGAAGAGATAGAAAACTGGTTGTACTTTACTTCATGATCCTGGTTATTTGTACTTTTCATTTTTATGTATAACTCGTTTTGGAAGGTAGTGGTCAATTTATGAATGACATCATTTCCTTGATAGAAAAAGATACATTTATTTAGTTGTATTTATCTAAAAATGGAAACAAAGAAAACTGAAAACGAAATAGACAAGAACACCACTATAAAAAATACGTATATTTTGCTTATAGAATAACGAGCTGAATTTGCATTGGTGATAAGTGAATAAATGTAAACATATTTGATGTTCTTTTTTATCTGACATAATTGGCTTTTACCCCCCTTTAATCCTTACGTTGACAGTCCTATGTGATTTTATCTTTTATTACCAGTAAAATATGCATATAATTGTAAATAATTTATTTTAAACTCATTGTCAACGCTTTCCTAAAAAGTTTAAAATTGAGAGGAAAATTAAATTAGATACATTTAGTATAATTGACATTGTACATCTACATTGTTGCTTGCTGACATCTAAAAAGTGAATCGTTAAAATTACCATCTACAATATTATTAGCCGCCTCAAAGCTGGCTTAAGCTCTCTTAAAAAGGATTTGTCTCTACCACAGATTTTTGAACTATTTGAATGAACTTTTTTCTTTGAAGATCAGTACAGGAAGGTATCTTAATTAGTTTAAACAGGTTATTGCTAAAGCGATACCCCCCCCCCAAAAAAAAAAAAAAAAAAATATTAATAATATTTCTCTAACTTTGTTTTGATTATAACTAGATTGATATATTTGTACGAACAATTGCATTGATTAAATATTCTTAATGAAATATTGCTAAATGTTTGTCTATTTCTGGCAAAGAGATTGTACCTGCTGGACACGTTTTTTTTTTCTATTAGGGTGGTTTTATACATGTATCAGACTGTATCAAAGGATGAATCTCTGTTATTCAGTTTACTGAAATGTGACTGAAAGATTACTGAAAAGTGACTGATTGGCAGATCCCGGCATTCAGTCACCTTTCCAGATCTTTCAGTCACAATTCAGGTGACTGAATGACAGGGTTTCATCCTGTGTATGTTTATATACATGTAACTGAGACCTCTGTCAAAGTATGATATATATTATGTTAACTCCCTGTAGCATCCCCTAGTTCAATATATATGCAAATTATTAACTTACATAGTACTGTGTAAAATGTAAATTGTAATAACGAACAAGAGTAATCCTTTATACTGTAAAAAGTGTTAGTCTCTTGCGTTCGTATTGTACATCTAAATCAGGATAAAAAGAAAAATTTTGCTTCAGGGTTAAATTTATGCCTTCAAAATCGATACATAAATATGTTGGATATGTTTGTGAACATGTACCTACCAAGCCAATAATTTCCATTAACATCCCCAAAACCTCGTTTATATTCATCCCAGGTGGTGTTGAAATTTACACGGGGATTGTCTCTATTCCTGTGCTGAATAACCTAAAATATGATTATATTTCAAATACTAAGAATACCCTTGAGAATACCATTCTCACTGAAAAGAAGTTGAAGTAATAAGTATACTATTAAAAGGTAGCTATAAAAAGTCATTGAACACATCATTTCTGTATCTAAAAAAAAAAGAAAAAAAAAACAGGAATGTTGAGAGTTATCATCAGTTTTATCTTAAGATATGATATATTACCGTCCAGCCACCTCCAGTTAATTCCATGTCACACAGCACTTGGACAGAAGTAGAATTGTTGACATTTCTGTAAGGGAATATTTTGTAAATTCCAGTCTTCTTTATACCACAGTTGTAGATGTCGTAACAGTCAAACGGAACACTGCAATCTATAAATATATTCCAACTTCCCTAAATATCTATGGCAATATTAAATCCAGTATAAATTATCTTGATATTTCTTTGTTTACAAACGTGGAAAAAACTACAAGGAAAGAAACGTTGTGTCAAATCAAAGAAGAACGAGAAAGGCTTCTGTATGATTGAAAGTAGGATATTATTTTAACATCGACCACGTTTTCATATGCACATTATACAAGTACAAGCCCTGAAGATCCCTGATTTAAAGAGTGCGTTTCCTTTTCCTTTCTCTCCAAAAATCTTGTAATTTTTAAAGACTGTATTTTATTTAAATTTTTCCGAGAATTTCACGCATGTTGAAACTCACAAATTGTCATTTTGGCTTCACATGAATGGCCTGATAATTGACTTCAGATTGTCATTAGCTTTTTATATTACTTGTTTAATGAAATTGGAATATTGGATTAAGGAACTTGGAAAATGTCAAGAAGGTTAATGGAACCATTTCATCTTCAAAAATGCATGTGTAGCCTACTGGTAGGGCGTTCGCTTCGAAATCGGGAGGGCCTAGTTCGATTCTTTTTCGCCGCGCCGCGTCAAACCTAAGACCTAAACAAAGGTAGTGACTGTTCCTTCGCTAAGCGCCAGGCACTAAAAGTAAGAGTCACGGGTCTTTCGGATGAAACCTTAAAAACCGAAGTCCCGTGTCACCGTAGGCATTGGCACGATAAAGAACCCTCACTGCTGAATGACCCTGAGTGCCGAGAATAAATCTAAATTTGAAGCCCTTCACCGGTATATGGTGACGTCTCTTTCTGACTGAAAAATTCTAAATTGGGACATAAAACAACATACAATAAATCAAACAATTAAAAATGCATATCAAATTATCCGTACTTTAAGACAGTCCGTCCTTCAAGTTTAAAAGTTCAGTAGTTAAGTTACTGAAAATGCTCACGTAATACTGTTAAATCATAAATTTTTGTGGGGGTTTAATTTTGGTTGTCTTCGAGGTATGAAAAGACCCATGAGTTCATGCCCCCCCCCCCCACCCCACCCCCCACCCCCCACTCAAATGCAAAATTTCAAATGCAGAACTTCTTTAGCTATGAAATCAAATCTCCAGTAACTAATATTTTTTCCTTTAACCACGAAAATTTAACCTCACAAAAATATGTGATTTTACAGTAGTCTATGAATTCACAAGGTATGATGGCCGTTCAACAATTACGCGGAGTTCTGCTATTATCTACTCTTACAGTTGTTAAATAGTAATACAATTTCACAGAAACATATTTCCTAAATATTACAGAAATATTTTGGTAATGTCTTTCGATAATAATAAATTTCTCCAAAATAATATTCCTCTTTTGATACTTATTAAATTTCTATGATTCACGAGATTTTTGACATTTTCTCGAAAGTTTCTTTTTCTTGTTCCTACCGTTCACGGTAGCTCAGTCGGTAGAGCGTTCGCTCCATGATCGGGAGGTCGTGAGTTCGAATCTCGGCCGCGACTGACCTAGTCGATAAAAATGGATAGCATCTGTTCCTTTGCAACGCGCTCGGCACTTTGAAGTGAAAGTTGCGGGTTCTTCGGATGAGACCTTAAAAACCGAGGCCCCGTGTCACGGCAGGCGTTGGTACGATAAAGATCCCTCACTGCTCAATGACCCTGAGTGCCGAGTAAAGGTCCAAATTTGAAGCCCTTCGCCGGTATATTGTTATGTTTCTATATTAGCAAAAAATTCTAGAATGGGACGTTAAACTACAATCAATCAATCAATCATTTTCTTGTTCTATTAATTTGTATTTAGATTTCTGACGTAATATGTGAAGTACTAACAGAAATGTTGTGATTTTTCTTTCGATCCCTATGAAAACAACTGCAAAAATGACGTCAAATGATTTGACGGAGCAACACACTTTTGACAAATTATTTGTAATGATCGGGAAAACTCCTACATAGACCCAACATATGAATGATGAAACATGAATATTACCTACAAATTTCAACAAATAACGAAGGAGAATTTCAGAATTTAGAACCTCAGTAAAAGATAATGTGGGAGGGAACAGAAGAAGGTCATGAACGTAAACTTGATCAGGACTGTTACTAACGTGATTGAGAACGACGTCTCTCAATATTTCAGAAATATCTGTAGTTATGCAGTTAAAAAATTTAAAATAGAACATACATGTAACTTTACCAGTTTTAACATACATGAAGGTTTACTAGTATACAAGCTGAACACGAATTTTATGCTGAGTTGATAAGTTAACCCAAACCGTCTTCAGATGTTGAGAAAAATGAGAGCGCAACATTTTTATGATGCAACTTTTGAAATAAGGCCCACTATTGAAATAATTATTTCAATAGTGGTTAAGATACTGCCGACTCGACGTAACACAACTAAAAATCAATCAATTATTAAAGGCAAGTTTCTAGCATTTATGTTATAGAAAGTTCATCTTTGCTATTAAATGAGGAAAGTAAAGGCTCAGTTGTAAAAACTTGTGGAGAGGCTTTCTGATGGAAATTTGAATATATATGCTTTTAAAAAATGAGGACAGAAAAAAATATTTGTTTATAATCATTTTTTACCTAGTGAAACATGAATTATTTTTGCTTTCAAACTTTGTATAATAATTGAAATGCAACCAAAAATGGCCTCCATATCACACTGTAATTTCAATGCTCTCAACCTAACGTTTATCCGCACCGTATCTCTTTATATAGCATTATCACCCATATTCACGGACTTGCGTACACTACTAAACTTAGAAATAAAACCAAATTTTCAGCCCGTTCACACAATGAAAGCAACGCTTCAGGGGAATTAACTCAATCAGTAGGAGTTTTTCAATACTAAGTGTAACGTCAATAGTGGTCACAGATATAAAACCATTATTGAAAAGATGACATTGGGGAACAACGCTCATCTGAGTAACTTTGGCCTTGCTGTTTTTCACCTGATTCCTCCCCCCCTCTGTTGTACTATTGTGGCCCAGCCCTACGCCTAGGGGTCATGATTTGAACAATTAGAATCTACACTACCCCAGAATGCTTCCACATAGATGTCAGCTTTTCTGGCCAAGTGGCTTTTGAGAAGAATTTTTTTTAAAGATTTTTTTTCTGTATCTTTCAATGCTAAGCATGGTTCCCTATTGTGGCACCGCCCTACCTTCGGGGGTCATTATTTGAACAATTTAGTTGTATAACATAAGTTTCAGCTTTTCTGGCCCAGTGGTTCTTGAGAAGATTTTTAAAGATTTTTACTACATATTTCAATATAAAAATTGGATTCCCTATTGTGACCCTCACTACTCCCGGGGGTCATGATTTGAAAAATTTAGAATCTACACTACCCCAGGATACCTCCATATAAGTTTCAGCTTTTTTGGCCCAGTAGTTCTTGAGAAGATTTTTTAATGACCCTACCCAATTTTTGTTTTTTTCTTGATGATCTCTTCTTTGAAGGGGACTTGGTCCTTCATTTTAACAATTTAAACTCCCCTTTACCAAAGGATTTTTTGTATACCAAGTTTGGTTAAAATTGGCCCAGTGGATCTTGAAAAGAAGTTGAAAATGTGAAAAGCTTACAGACGGACGGACGGATGGACGGACGACGGACAATGGTTGATCAGAAAAGCTCACTTGAGCTTTCAGCTCAGGTAAGCTAAAATATCTACTGTTGAAATGATATATCAATAATGAGTTTTATATCAATAGTGGTTGCAACATTGCAACCACTTTTGAAATAACACCGTTAGGCCATTATTTTCACATTTAAGGACAGATGATAGAAACATTTTTTTTATCAACAATTTTAAAAATAACAACCCAAGTCATACATTTAACCGCACAAATTGTATTTTGCATTCAAATTTTCACAATAATGGAATTTCAAGAGACAAAAATTTGTATGGAGCTTGAGATAAAAGATACCACAGAGTCGGACACAACTGTTTCATATTTGGATATTTTACTTGAAAAAGACGTCAATGGTAATCTAACAACCAAGCTTTATGATAAACGTGATGACTTTAACTTTCAATCGTCAACTTCCCCTACTTATGAAGCAATATACCTTGTCAGCAAATACAATTTATCATTGAGTCAAATGATTACTGATGTTTCTCTTACTAATTGTTAGACCATTATTTACACACTGAATTGTCGACAAATTTTCCGTTATTTCCCGATCATGACAAGGAGCACACGGCGGGTGTGACCGGTCGGCAGGGAATGCTAACTCCTTCATGGCACCTGATCCCACCTCTGATGTTTTGGAGGTATGTGTTTCCTCTGCTCCTATTTTGTATTGTTTAATGGACTTTTAAGCTTGAATACTGTTCGCTATCTCCATATATTTCACATCGAAGTTAAAATGGACGAATACAAAATTTCCATTTTATCTATAGAAGGAACAGAAGTATGCATACAATATCGAGGGGGGTGTGTGTGTGGGGGGGGGGGGGGGTGGGGGGTGGGTGGGGGGGGTGGGGGGGAGGTTCTCACACACTCCTTTGTTTGAAAATATCAAAGAACTATAAATATTCCATTTATATTACAGAAGATTTGAACATACGTCATTGTTAGTTCACATTTAACAAGAATTGAAATTAAAATTTATTAAATAAAAGTAGATTTCAATGTCAGTTGAATTTTATATTCAGGTATGAAATATGAATGCCTATGTTTGAACTACATGCCGGGCACGGTGGCATAAAAATTACATAAATAGAAAACATACTAAGAGTCAATTTTTAATATGCAAACACGAATTAACAAATTAGTACTTTAGAAATTCAATGGACTAATTATATCTGCAATGTATCCTATGTTTCATGAAGCTCGAATAGCCTGTGTCGCAAACAAAAAAAAAGAGAAAAGACAAGACAAGTAAGCTGAAAGGGGGCGTGGTAAAAAAAAATGCGCTTTACATTTGAAAACTCTGATAAAATAAAATTTATATAACATTTTCAAAGCAAAATATATTTTTCCACTTTGAATTTTTAATGTGCCATAGTATTTTATCGTCCCAAGTCTGAAAGACGTTTGAGAAACGTTATTTAGTGAGAAAAGTGGAAGGGGTGATTTTCCGCCATAAATTCAAAACGGCTCGTTTAGAAATATTACAAAAAAAATTATGAAGATTATTTTTGCAACCAGCTACATAAAGAAAGTATTTTTTCCCCCAACATTAAACGATAGATTTTTTTTTTCATCAGAAATATTTAAATTAAAAAATAAGCATTTTACAAGGCTAAGACGAACGATAGTTTTTTTTCAGTTTAAGGTCTTCAAAAACATTTATGTCCATATATACATCTACAAAATTACTTTATTGGTGTGCTTAATGGTCAAACGAATAAGTTAATGAAGTTTGACAGCCAGGCAATCCCACTATTTTTTTTTTTTTTTTTTTTTTTAGAAAATCATGGACTTTATAGTTGGTTAATTGAAAATTTCATCTTCTCGTAAACAGTTAAAGGGGGTGGGGTTGGGGGGTAACTTTTGGAAATTCGACTCGAACGATTTTGTCCAAAATGTGCATACACATAGTAGATATAGTCATATATACAATATACAAAAATTACGAAAATTAAACGATCGGAATTTTTTGGTTGATGGGTGTCTTGTACATCCTGAAGAACCACTGGGACAGAAAAGCTAAAACATATGTTGAACCTTTCTGAGGTATTGAAGATTCTAATTTGTTCAAATCATGACCCCAGGAGTAGGGTGAGGCCACAAAAAGGGAATCCAAATTTTACATTGAAATATGAAGGAAACATCTTTACAAACCTTCTACTCAAGAACCACTGGGCCAGAAAATCCGAAACTTATGTGAAATCTTCCTGGGGTAGAATAGATTCTAAATTGTCTAAATACCCCTGGATTATGGCGGGCCCTCAATAAATATTACAAGGAGAAAAAACTGGTGAAGAACATCAGGGTCAAACTTACTCAGGTGAGTGTAGTGACCCATGGACCTCTTGTTGTACTTTATTACATGAATCACCTCCTATTCCATACATCTGATGAAGATTATGAAATTTCGACAGAATTAGGATAGATTAGATCTAATGTTTAAATATAAATTCATAAAATGTACTTTTATCCTAGTTGATAAATTGGTAAACATTAATCCTTATATTTATTCTTATAGTGGTTGTTGTTGCAATAGATCTTTTTTGACATTTCATTGAGGTAAAACGAGTCGTTTCTTGTTTTTAACAAACATTTTTGCTCATCAGCATTCAATAACGAAAGAACTTTTACAAATAGAAGTTTTGATAAATTTACATCTCGAAGTGAAGAATTGTGTCAAAACCGGAAGAGCCGGAAGAGCATACCCGTTGATAAAGCATAAGGTTATCTTATGGGTAGTATTCACCACACGTATTAGATAAATTACTGTAATCGGCAGGGCAGAAGATGAACCACACTTTTAGTACACAAGATATTGATGTGTTGACGGACGATCTTTGCAGTAATTAATTAACAGGGGTGTCGAAGTATACTTTCTTGTAATTCATTTCTTTTCAAAGTTTCTTTTTTTTTAAAAAAATATTTAAACGCACATATAAACTTAATTTCACTAAAATTCTTTTTCCATCTGCTTCTTAGTTCACCTGACAGAAATTAGTGGCTAATAAAAGATCTTATTATCAATTTATTAATTTACAGCACAGATGACAAATATTTTCAGTTTTCTATGGTAAAGAAAAAAAAAAGAACAACTTTGGTCAGAAATAGTGTTTGCCTAAGTGTGACTATATGCTTTCTCTTAATCACTGCGTTGCAATGTTGGCGATTGTTGATTAAATTGTAAACAACCACGATATGTATGCCTTTTTGGCCAGAAAATTGCTGTATCGTCCTAATAGCATTCTTTCTCGACAATTTATTTTGCTCAATTAAGAAACTAATTAAAAAAGTATTAAAAAAGAGGACATTAGTTTTATCTATACAATTTTAAGAGTAGAAGTAAAAAGATATATATATTCCCTGCAAATACATTTGGAGGAAACATGGTTATGAATGTATATGTGTTTTGAGAAATTATTCAATAAAGAAAACCAAGTTGAATTAACGTTTTTTTTTTAATTTTTGAAAGTGATAGATTCACACATGCATCGGCAGCAAAAGATCTCCAGTTAGTGTGAAGTTTTATAATTAACAACTGATTCGATAAACATACATGTGCTTAGGCCTATTCAAATTTACCCATTTCCCCAGATGGAAAGGACGCTGGTAAGAGTTTCATTTGTTACAGAGGATTAAACATATGATAAATCTTATGCTCAGAGAAAACTTGTTAAGAAGAATAGAACAATAGTAAATGAAATAAGCACACAAGACGTCCCCTTGCGAGTGTTTCAGGCACCAATAACGAATCCACTGTAAAACACAGATTTTGTGAAAGATCCTTAAAATCAATCAATAGGAAGCATATTTAGAATGCTTGTGGTGCAACGATGTCAGGTGACCGTTATACATGCACTACAGCTGTAATTAATTTTAATGAAAATGCTAAAAGTATTTCGCTGCCTTGGATTTTATTCATTTTCCTTGTTGAAAATATCTTATGAATAAAAAATATTTATGAAACATTTCGCAAATTAGTGATGAGATTAACTTAGACAGAAACTTTTCGAGTGTTTAAACTATTCTTGGAGACGGTGAGTGGGGTTGGGGGTGGGGTGGGTAGTGAGGGGGGGGGGGGTGTTGTATTAATATTTATAAAATCAAAGTAGGGGAATTTATATACATGATGTTTAAAATTAGGCTATACAACTTTAATATATCATTTTCACTGAAATCGCAAAAGCCTTATTAACATAAATAACTTTGTACTTCTGCAAGTAATACTTTAAATTGTAGCACTGTGATAATTTCCAACATAGTTCTTAAGAAGGAAGAAAAGGCAATTTTTACCTGACTGAAACAAAGAAGAAACTAACAGCTGTGTGTTGGAGACATTTTGCTCCTCACGGATATCATCTAATGCTTCATCGACGGAGATTGAAAGGTTCCAAACTCTGCCTTCAATCATTTTAAGGCGAGAGTCAATGTTAGTGGACCTTATCTCTTTCTCCATTTGATGTAACTTGCTTTCAATTGCATCATTTTCCTGTGAGAGTGCACTATATTGCTCTTTCATAGCAAATGTTTCATTTCTAAACGTAATTTCATCGACTTTTAGCTGCTCCTTCATTTTGGAGTTTACCAATTTAAGTTCCTCATTTTCTCTCCGAAGAGCTAGGAATTGTCTCTTCAGAAAATATATCTCCGTCTCATTCAGCGTATGAATGTTTGTAATAGTGAGGTTCTGATTGTCGCTTATTCTGTTATAGATGCCACTCAGTTCCTTTCGAAGTTCAACATTATCTTGTTCAAGTATTTGATCCTTTGTTTCCAATGCCTTTAATTCTTTTGCTAAATGAAAGAGCTTCTTTTTCAATATTTCAGTGTTGTTTTTGTTGTCTATAGCATCCATCACCAAATTCTGAATTTTTTGCACCATAGAAAACCTCACCAAAGATTCTTGGTTAAGGATATCCCGTAAAATATTGGATGTCTTTCCAGATGTGGTACTGCGAAATAAGTTATTTTCCTCGGATGGATCATTTGCAGGTAATTCAAGGTATCCAAATGTCCCACGAATAAAGAAAAAGATAAGTGTAAAAAGTTGTGACTTTTCCATTCTCAGATGAAAGAACATTGCTAAAGCATTCTAAAATGTTTTGATTGTTTTGAGTTTATATTAAAAGAAGGCGGGATATCATGGAATTTGATCACGTGCTACATGTCATAAATAACCATGCCTAACTTTACTTCAATGAAAGCATTTGCTTTTTTTTAATTAGGATTTTTTATGTCTCATAGTTTTGTTAGTGAAGAGTTTTAAATACTCTTCACCCCTATTGAATAGTTCGTTATGGATTTTTAAATTCAATCTGTTTTTCGATTTCTCTCGCAATTTTCTTAGCTACAATTATGGTTCTCATTAGATACTGAAATCTACTTTGTTTTCATTTCTAAAAGAGTGCAATGGAAAATACATATAAAACAGACTCTATGAACACTTTCTTTGTTGTTTTTCTCCTTTATATTTTACCTTTATGATTGTGAGACTAAACGGAAATATAACTTTTGGTAGGAAAATACCATACTATCTTCTTGAGATCAGAAATTTTTATTTTAACAAGCTTGACAAAGTCCGGGCAACAATGAAACGTACAGTATAAATGTCAAAGATACTAAAAAAAGAAGAAAAAAAGTTAGTGTTCGACTTGATATTCCAAATAATCAAAATAAGATTTTTTTTAGTCGGAATCATATTGTTTTGCTTTTAATTTATATATTTACAAGCATCTTTGGAATCTTTGAGTAACTGAAAGAAAAGTTAATGAAAAATCCCTCTGATACTTTTATTTAAGATATCGATTTACAATGATTAATTAACCCTTAAAAAAATCTTCATTAAAAAGGTGCATTCAAATTTTCTTTTATTCCTTCGAAAATTTGACGCATATCAAATAAAGAGCAAATATCTCATTCATCAGACTAAAAGACTTTTTTAAAACTTCATCTTTTAATGACAATTTGTTTCTTTTCTACATGTTCTATGCAAACTCATTAAAGTCCTGAGTTATATTAATACATGTTCTTTTTCTACAAACATTTTTTTTCGATATTTTAATAGAAACAAGTAGTACATGTATATTATCGTTTGAAATACATTACATTTTAAAGTATGCAGCTTATGCTAATTTATGCTAAATTTGTTGCATCTTTGGTGTCAAGAATGGCAGACGAAAGGCTGACAGGGACTTGTATTCATTTCAAGAAGCATTTGATAAAAATAAATCAGCTTACCTGTTTATGAAATTTTAATTCCTTGTAAATCACATATACATTGTAATATTAACTGTAATGTTCAATGAAAGATAGCGTACACCATCCATTATATCACCATTGACGTTCCTAGTTTCAAAAAAGAATTACTTTGAATTCCTAATCGTTTGATGTTTTCGCGAGAAGCTGTGCTATGTAATTAACTTATCACTATAATTATTACAAGAAATATGAAAAAGATACATTTTATGGGTTTGCACCTATAAGTAAAGTGCTCATAAGCAAGATAAAAGATATCTCTTATTATTTTAGCCCTTCATTTCTTCATTTCACACCTCGTCCTTAGCCTCCTGCGGATAGGAAGATTGTTTCTATTTAGAAAAAAAGAGTTCTCGTGTAAAGAATGATGCAAACTTAGTGGAATGCTTAGATTACCTGGAAAACAGGAAAATAATGCAGCAGAAATGATCAGATTGTATATGTAACATGTCATAAAAAAATAATGATAAAAAATGGTGCATAGCTAAAATTAAGTGTTAGCTTTATGGCTGATTACCAAAAGGCCACTAATAATGAACATGTTCACTTTTTCTTGTGTCAAAATAAATTTTGAATATGGCTAAAAATGTTCTTAAAACACAATTATTGTGTCAAATATCGCCTTCTGTGTATTTAGCAATTTTATAAGTTACCTGTACCTGTCCATAAAGTCAAAAAACCCTGTTATTCATAAGAACAATGGATTTTCTCTTTACAAAAGAAGCAAAAGTAATTGTGAGGCAATGTAAACGCCATTATAGCTGGCATAAGAACCAAATTTAATACTATTTTATATTTCTTCCCAGAACAGACCACGGCCAATTCACTTTCGTTACAACAAACAGTTGTATGATCCACAAAAGATTTTAATAAAGTTTAATCTTTAAGATTTAATTTATATTCATTTTAAACAAGGAATGTCCAATGAAAGTTAAAATCTTTATATTTACAAAAAGGGTTAGAGCAATGAAACTCAGTTCCAGAGAGAAAAAAAAGACACCGTCTAGAAACATATTTGAAGGTAAGTTTCAGACTCTGAAGAGAAAATATTACTACGTATATGCTGTATTATTTGTCTTAGCTTTTTATCTCTTCATTTTTTCCTCACCTGTAGAATCCCCTATGTTTAACTTATGGATATTGAGAAAATTAAAGCGTAAAAAAAGTTATAAATATTGAGCTTATTTGTTTTTCTTTTTAATAACTTTTGGTATGTATCAGCCATTTTCCACCACGGAAAATGTACAAAAGTAACTACGTATCAATGAACAGAAATTACTGTTGCCAGCTGAATAAATGTAAATTAAAAAAAAGTGTTTCATCAATAAATCATCGTGACCTAACAAAATGTAATTAATGCTTTATTTGAATACAAATTGAGTAGCAAAACGCATATTTAAAGTAGATCAATACTCGCACTACGTCACTAACGAATAATAAAACAGGAACCACACTTATGATTTCCGAGATGTGATTTTTGAATTTTTTTGGTTTGACTTTTACTTGATAATAAAAATATAGTATAAACGACATTTCTGTGGATGAGTATATGCCGATATCATGGACCACGAGTATTCTACATGTATGAAATTGATGCTACAGACAGACTATTGTCGGCGGACAAGTTCAAGCTAACACTGATAATTCGCAAAAAAGGAGTTGCTACGATTTGACAGTAACAATTTTTATTACTTCAAACATTGCAATATTTATCTTGCATAACAATTATCACAATAGATGACCCCCCCCCCCCCCCTTCAAAAAAAAACAAAAAAAAAAAAAACCATCGCATTGAATCACAATGCAAATTATCTTTAGAATGCTAGTATATGAAAATAGTTGATTCACTTGCAACACACCTATTTTCTTTAACCATATTATCCAGTGTGTGAGAAGCAGTCGATCACTTATGAATCATTGACTCTAATTTACTGACAAGTGTTTTTTTTTTCTCTCTGTTTATGTAAAACAAGAAAAAAATTAGGAACATAGGTATAGAGTGTGTTTTATATTTTATTTTAAATATGTACAGCTTTGCAAATACAAATGTTCACTCAAACTTTAACATTATTATAGTAAAATGTGGTAACATCTTATTTTTGGAAGTGCCGTGTATAGAACGACCTTAATTCTTTTTGAGTAAAGGTCGACTTGCAGATTACTCAGAGTACTTCAACTAAACAAATTTGGCGGACAAAATATTTCCTAAGATGAAATATTTAGATTATAGATTCATAAAACGAGGCATATTTTTTGTGTGATTCCTTTTTTAATGTCCCTTCGAGAATTTTCACTTAAAATGAGACGCAAACATTTGCCAGTGAAGGGCTCGAAATTTAAACCTCTACTCTTCACTGAGGCCTTTGAGCAGCGAGGAATCTTTTTTTCATGCCAGCACCCTCTGAGATACGGGACCTTGGTCTCATGCAAAGGACCAGTCTCCACGTCACAGAGTAGAATCGATTTCCTGACATAAGGATAAATTCCTTACTCCGCGACTCTAAAAACGCTCTCACCACTGACGAGGAATATCCAAATAAAATACCGGTATATAAAAGTCTATAAACTAAGCACGGTGATTTATTTTTATTATTTATTTCTTAAGAAGACAAGCAAATATGGAATACAATCACACTGTTGATACTCCAGACAAAAGAATTCGTGATTTGTGAAGTTACAGCTGAGAAATACTCTTGTTTCTCTGTATCTGAAAGATAAAAAAAATATTTTGCATAAAAATATTAAGAAGCCTTTAAAATATAATATAATTTTGATTCTTAAACACATTCTATGACAACATTATTTACAACTTAATTTCAGACACATTTAAAATCTTTGTGCAGAGACATCATATTTGAAACTAATCAGCCATTGTTCCCGATCCGACATATTCTGAACTTTTTATCACCACAAGTTTTCATATTAATTTTTTTACTTATCTTTCCATCTTGTTTAGTATAATCTGAATACATATTTACATGAGAAGGTTCCCGGTTTTGTGAGAATCATTAAAACACAAGACTGAAACTTAAAAAAAAAACACTATCGACTTCCAAAAGTTCAATTCTTTTCATTTGTTAAACTTGTTACTAAATCATTTCTAAGCAATTAGTAAATTATGATTTATTCCATTCAAAAGTATCATTACTACGCCTGTGACCAGCGGAGACTTTCAATTCTCTCCTACAATTTTTCCTATATATTTTAACTAGAATAGATGGCCGCTCCTGTATGGCGGCGGCTAGAACTATTCAAATCCTCACCCAAAATATTATTTTCATTGTTATAATTAGTCAGCCATTAAGCGATCGAGGGGCAATATGAAAACCATCTATCCTTCTGTGTTCAGTAATTCAGAAGTGAAAAAAGAATAAGGTAGATTGCACAATCAGTATGTACTGGTCCCAGTGACAAAGCAGGTAACATTATTGTCTTTGTTTGTAAGGCTTATTATCTTAATTGTATTTTAGAGGAACTGAGATTTAATTCTACAAATGGTAATCAAACTAATACCCATAGCACCCTTTCTAAGGAGGAAATTCTTCTAATCGTATGTCAGTGTTGAATATTTTTAATATTCCCAACAACCAGAATGAATTCGAATTACCATATATATATTGATTTCCGAAACTTCATAAAAATCATTACAAAGATACATACCGGGTTGCAGTAAATGTTCTACCAAGCCTCTTTCTTTACTCCCCACTAAAATATTATCAGCAGTGAAGGAGAAACTTCAGGCGTACTGTGCAACAATATATTCGCGAAGTGGTGTAAATCAGATGTAGGTACTTAAAAAATCCAAGGAACTTTTGGAAGATATGATATCACAAAATTTAACCAAAATCAATAATATAAAACGACTTTTCAATTCAATATACAACCATTCCCGACGATAAATTAAAGTGCAGGCTTTCTGATATCATTGACAGCTGCTTTGTCAATGAAAATAGAACTCGAAAATTTACTTACCTTGTCATTGGTCATTTGCAAAATTATGTTGTTAAAAAACATTCCGATTGTATACACAAGTACTTTGAAGTTAATATTAAAAAGTGCTTGAGTTTCTGATTGACAATATCTATGTGGTTTTTGGAGACACTCTATTCCCTCTAGACAGTATTTCTTTGAGCATTTTATTATTGCGTGATTGTTTTTTACCCATCCAAAATAGTTCTTTCTGTATCTTTTGATTTACCACTACGTTTTTAAAATAAGCCATTCCTGATAAATAAGGTCCTGAAAAAGAAATTGTCTTACATGATTAATCTATTCCACACTGAATAAATTATATAATGGTTGTCTAAAAATTTTGTAGACTGAGCTTATATCTTAGTCAGAGATTAAAGTATCTCTATATAATTTTCTACGAGGTAAAGTGTGTTGGTCGATAAATAATGAAATTTTCACATGAATACTTAAAAACAAAAAAAAAAAACAAACAAAAAAAAAAAAAAACAAAAAAAACCAAAAAAAATCAAGTAATTAGAATTACAGTTACCACCCAGCCACCCAGAGCAATTTCCGATGCACAAAAAGAAGATAAAGTCAATTGTTCAATTCTTTTGGGAAATACGTATACACAATTGGCATTCTCAAATAATTTAGCTCATCATAAAGACTTTATATATAAATGTGAACTATCTTAAGTGATATAATTTAACATAAACATATAAGAACAGAGTATAACCATGTTCAAGTACTTGTATACAATAACAATGATTTTAATAAATCCTATATTTTTTAAGGTTAACGTTCTTTTTCGACTTTTCAGAGGAGTTGCACAAGGTCACCTTGAACATGAATTATGTGCGATTACATCAGTCTCTGTTTTTTTTTAGTATGCTTAGAAAGCCGCTTCTGTTATTTTAAAATACAAAGAATCGAAAAACATTTTATGGCTATCTTCGATTTTTTGGCTTTTCTTTAGGTGTGATTTCAAGTTCGGAACATTTGATCACGGTCTGTGTCAACACAGCCACTATTGTGCAACAAGTCAGATTTCAAACTGGTTCAAATAAAACATTTAAGATTCATATTAGCTATAGCATAAACAACATAATTTGAGTATTAGTATAGTTAATTATATAAGATTTTTTTTAATTTCTTTTCCAGAATTTCTGAGTACATATTTGGCAGTAAAAGATGACTGCACTTAAGGTCAAGATCTAGTAAATGCTTTAGACTACTTTTTGGTGCTAGATCCATTATGACGTCATAATCAATTTCAACTTTCTTTTCCTATACTTTACGGCTCTAAAAGATTTATGTACAAAATTAAGTATTTTCATGAAATTCAATTTGAAATCACGTGAAAGGTAATCCCAATACCTATATTCAATTTCATATTATTTTAAAAAAAAGAGGCCAAGAATATACAAATTACCGTTTTCCGAGAGACTGTAGGCAATCTAGATACAGTTTTTTGTCTATTATGGAAAAAAGCTCTTGTATTCATGACTGGTTTTCTTAGTTTTTCATTGAAAATGACAGTCTAAAATATGATTTTTCTTCTTGCTTACCTACAAATTATGCCCCGAAACACCTTATTTGACCAAGCTAAAGTTATAAAGCCTCATTAAAGGAATTTATTTCTCAAGTTTGAGAAATCTGTAGGCACCTTTTATTTACTAGATCTTGGTCTTAAGTATATGCGAAAATTGCGAAAAAAAAATAACTTTTCAAAACAAGCATTTTTCTTTTAATTACAGGAATGGTCAACATCTAATCTATAATTTTACGTAATTACATTGAATAAAAAAATGTATTAACGAAGCCCGAATCAGTTTTCATTGGCAGGGGTCATCACAATTCCTTGATTCTCCGTACAATAATGAGGACGCCCACTTTTTCACTGACTTTATACATAGTCAGCGCATGTTTGTCTATTGTTCTCCGTTTACAAGTAGTTGTATATTTGCATTAATATTGTTGTGTCGAAAGGATATTAATAGACAAACATGCGCTCATGGTTTAAAAGAAAAAATAACCCGACGTCTTCTTACATTCGCTCTCTCTATTGTAACCAAGGACTTTGGCAGGATGATTATCATAATTCACCATGTGATTTCTTACCATAGGTCCCATCGGGAAAAGAAAGAAGGATTTTTTTAATATTAGTGCAATACTTTTGATTAACAGCTACATACCCTTGAAAACCCAAATTATTGTCAAATATTTAATTAAACATGTAATTATTGATTTCTGTTAAAAGGGCTCAAAACATTTTCCGGTAATGGAATGAAAAATCATTCAACCGTTAAATTACAGATTTGGCAAAGTTGAAGATGTCCTAACTTTCCGATAAATCTACGCTTGTAAGTTATTTTGGGACAACCGTTGTAATTGTTCGAATTAGTGCCTTTCCTCTTTCCACTACGATGAAAATAGTTTACGGAAATTATACTATAATTCAAATTAACACATATAAACAACTATGGGAAAAATAGAGACATTCCTTGCAATTTTTATTGTTTTCATTATATATAAATTTCGAAAATGTTTTACATATGACCCACTTGATATTTCAGTACAATAGAAACCCAGAAAAGGTCGTGGAAGGCGCATCTTCTACAGTTCTAATATTACTCCCCCCCGTGCGTCTCATCAAAACCTTGTCACCTTGCTGTAGGTGCAAAATTGCAAGATTTCCAGCACTGTCTACATCATCAACCGCACTGGGAGGTGTTAAGCCAAGAACGTTAAACTTTCTTAAGCCGTTGACTTCTAAATATGCAAAAAAGGTCGTTTTATCAGCCAGTATGAAGCAGCTGAACACATAAACTCCGTCCACCGGTGCTGTAAACACTCCCGTGGAAGCACTGTATGTCCCACCTTCATTAGAAATGACTATATTGAATACAATCACACTGTTGATATTCCAGATGGAAGAATTCGTGATTTTTGAAATTCCAGCTGAGAAATACACTTGTTTTCTTGTATCTGAAAGAAAAAAAAAATGTGTTTTGTGAAACACTGATGCCCCGTATGAGAACTTACAGCAAACGTTGAACTTTCTCGAATGTAAATCCAATTGGTTGGTACCCAAAGTAAAGTCTTGTCTTGAGAAATATACTTGTGAAATATGAAATCCTAGCAGCAGCCATTGAAAAGATATGGAAAAGGTAAACGTGTTTTTTTTTTCAAAAGTATGTCAAAAATCAAGATCAAGCTCAAAATTAATGGTGCCCAAGGAAAGGCCTTCTCCCAAGATATACAAAGGTGAAATATGACAGCCGAAGCACCAATCATTCAAAAGTTATGACCAAGGTAAAAGTTTTCCAAAAGTAGGTCAAACTCCAAGGTCAAGGTCCAAGCGTCAAAGTTGTTGGTTTCCAAAGGAAGGTTTTGTCACTAGGATAACACGTGAAATATGAAGCTCTAGCACCAACCGTTCAAAAGTTATGGCCAAGATTAAAGTTTTCCAAAAGTAGGTCAAACTCGTAGGTCAAGGTGATAAGGTCAAAGTTGTTGGTGTACAAAGAAAGGTCTTGTAACAAGGATAACATGTGTGAAAATTGAAATCCCTAGCACCAACCGTTCAAAAGTTATGGCCAAGGTTAAAGTTTTCCAAAAGTAGGTCAAACTCCAAGGTAAAGGTCAAAGGGTCAAAGTTGCTTGTATCCGAAGGAAGATCTTGTCACATGGATTACACATATAAAGGATGGAAGTCCTAGAACCAACAGTTCAAAAGTTAAGGCCAAGTTTAAAGTTTTTCAAATGTAGGTCAAACTCCTAGGTCAAGGTCAAAAGGTCAAATATGGTGGAACCCAAAGAAAGGTCTTGTCACAAGGAATACACAAGTGAAATATGAAAGCCATAGCTCCAACCAATGAAAAGTTATAGGCAAAGTTAAAGTTTTTTCGGACAAAAAGACGAGCAGGCAAACAGACAAGCAGACAAACAGCTAGACAGACGGACGAACAGGGCAAAATCTATATACCCTCGAACCTTTGATATGGGGGCAAAAAAATCACGATAAACACGATAAATAAACAATTTTTTCATTGCTTAATTAAGAAACTAATTCTTAATTTTTTTTTGTGTTTTTGTAACTTAATGATTTTCATTCATCATAACTTAAAATGATCACGATGTGACATATCTCAACCCTGACTGCCGATATTTTCACACCTATGTGAAAACCCTTAGGCTTGTGCTGCTATAATAAATAAAACATGCATAATGTCGCCTGGTAATATCGTGAACTTCATTATCAGGAGACGATCGATAGAGAGTAGGTAACTAGGTACGCTCTATTGTACATAACACGTATAAAATGATATCAAACTGCGCAATATAATTGTTTGGTCAATTATTTGTGTGTTTTTTTTTTATTACTTACGACATCACATTGTCTGCCACATCTGCTTCATATCTGGATGTTTTACTGACGATAAGGGCCAATTTAAAGATTAAATTTTATGAGAATCGAGATGACTTCAGCTTTTCCATCGTCAAATTCTCGTATTTGAGTAGTAATATTCAACTTTGACCTGCATATGATGTGTATGTCTCCCAACTCATTCGATCTCAAGAGGTTGCTCTGGGTACGTTCATTTTTTAATCCGAGACAGGTTGATTACTCACAGATAAGTTGATGCTAAAGGAATTTCACTAACCTTGTTTAAAATAAGCATTTCGTAACTTTGGTCGTTATAATGACCTTAGTAGCAAATATAGCCTCATTGGATCGTATTTTGGCTGACTTAATTCATACCAATTGTAAGGTCTTTGTTCTTATACTAAATTAGCCAATGGAATGTTCCATCTAGTTCATCAATACATAAGGCTCAAGGGAATGGGAAGACCGGTCAACAAGGTAGGCTTACTGATTCCACCTCGGGAATTCATGTCTTGTTCACAGATTTGTATTGTTTGATCGATCCATCTTCGTTATCTTCACATTTTTCAATATGCGAAACTTCTAATAGCTTTATAAAAAAATTAAACTTTCTTTAATAAATTCACTACTTCAGAAAGTAAACTTAAGAATAAACAGGAATGTTTAGCTAATTGTAGGTGTGGGATGGAGGTGGGATGTACGCAGACTTCATGTGTGTGCTGATCATTGCTTGAACATGATGAAAATAATTTATAAGGGGAAGTTTCAAAAAAAAATTCTGGCTGAAATATTTGTCTTTTTATTTTATTTTGGGCTTGCCTTTAGCCAGGGAAATCGCTTCCTCAACAAATTTGCGTTAGGGCCTATAAAGCTATTGCAGATCCCATTCATCGATAAACATCTATGCATAAACTTCAGACGTGATCAGCATTGATGCGTGCCGCCTTTGTTTTTGGGGTGTTCATTACTTCTATGTCTGTAATAATTTCATCGTTTATCCATTTTTCTGATCGCCAGATTCGTTGTCTCTCTTTAAAGGGATTGTGTGGCTTTTTAAGGTACTTAAAATAAATTAAAAAAAAAATAACCCCACGCCGAAGCAATTTAATCATAATTAACAGGAGATGTTTTTCCTTGAGAATTGTTTATTAAGTATTTCAAATGTCTATATTATGCGTGCACATGCCTATTTTTGACGGACTGAACTTTTGCCAAAAGGGTGTATACCATGTTGTGTTAAATTCTTATTGGCTATGCAAAAGATGAAAGAAACAATGCAAGAGTGCTATGTAGTATGTTGTTAAGAGATCATTTTGTGCTGAAACTATGATGTAGAGCCCTTTCATCTATATTTTCAACAATAAAACACCTTTTTAAAGTTTTTTGGATATATTTGGCGTGTAAAGCACACGTGTAACTCGGGCATATTTCATGAAATACTCTACATTATGTTAACATTTTGAATGTTAAATCGAATACAAATGCACTGAAGATTTGTTTGCTGTGCTATTCTTTTTATAGTTTCATTACCATCTCAGTACCTTCATTGTGACGTCACTAATGCGAGTTTTTTTGGGGGTATGTTTCTACGTTTGATTATAAAAGGGAATCGCATTCAAATGGATTTCATAGTTGTTTTAATAAAAATGGCATAGTAATTTTAAATATTGTAATGAATCCAATGAATTTAAGATGAAATGTTTTCACCGTAAATTGATACATTGAAAGTTACAAAATTGCAGCAAATGTACCCCATTTTCACAAATAATAAAGAATAATAAAGGAAGTATAACCTATAGTTAACCCGTGTGAACAAACAATTCTGACATGACACTTACTAAAAAATACAAAAAGGTTCTATAATTCGATATAGAAATCCATGTTTATAATTTTAATTTCGGAATCAATTGGATATAAATTGAACTTTAATATGTATATTTACAATAATTTCTTACTAGTATAGCTAGATAATCCGTATGAAAAAAATAAACTAAAGTTGAATATGGTTTAGTATAGTGCAATCTGTATTTCCTTGGTTTACATGTAGTACGGACCTAACTTGACTCTATAACCAACCCCTTCTTCTTTTTAGATGAAGAACCTTGATAGTTTTTTTTTATCATACCGATGGTGCTTACTTTTAAAATTATCGATAAATACACAATTAATTTTTTTTTTACATATTAAAAATCGAAGTAAGAATTGAAGGAATCAGGATATACAAGTTAGTATTTCATATTTAAAATACTTTGATTTAATTAAGTAAAAGTTTAAATATAGTTATTACTAAACAATCACTAATTATAGTCATCTATAACTTACTGAGATATATTTATTAAGGGATATTAATTGAAAAAAAAAATTAAAATTTGTTAAAATTGTTGATTAAAAATCTGAACTGAGCGTACTGGATACAATTAAGATCAATAATGCAAATAAAGTGGTTGTTTGATTTAACAGTCTTGTACTTTTGTTTAGGTTTTTAATAATAAATTTATTCACCCAGTACAAACATGAAGGGGGTTGCTTTTAAAAAATTATCCGATCGTGAATGTCAGTCGTACATTTTAACATGTACCCTATCGCGACGTCTTCTTCATGTTACATGTAAAGAAAATTATAATATTACTTGCATTTCTCTAACACATTAATACAAAAAGGAAACTATCGCGTTAGAAAAGCATAAAATCAAGGATGAAAAGTTTGATTTTTGCCTCTGTTGTATCGCAAATATTTTCAAATTCAACGATATGGTAATTTTGTAGGACTTTTGGCAATTATTTTTAATAAAAGGTCCAATAAAAGATCAGTTATGAAAACTCATTTTTTTAAACTTCAATTTATTGATACCTGTATAATAACTTCCTTTATTCACAAATAGTATTATTTATTAATTTATAAATCAAAACGTTATAAAGAGATTCATACAATACACACTTTCTCTGATAAAGAATGAACAATTTTTGTAACCTCTTGAGTAAAGGAGAACCCAACATTTGCAAAACTATGAGTCTAAAAATTGAATTTCTCTCCATAAAATAGAAGAAATCGTGAATTCATAAATTCCATCGATGTATAAAAATTTGAGAAAAAAGAAGAAAAAAGTTTTTCTAAGGAATCAGATTTAGCGTTTTCATTTGTGTGTGTGTGTGTGTGTAAGGCATTCCGAATGAAAATAATGTATACAATACATACTTGTCGACGAATTTGTACAGCTACAATTCCCTGTTTTAGACAGCAAGCCTCTGATGTCTGTATTCTCCTGTCGTAATTGATCTACTTCGCGTTTAAGCTTGATCTGCTGCCTCAGAAATGTTTGAAAGTTTTCTATTATTTTATCATACATATCATTACTTCTGCAGTCATCTTTTCCAGTCATATAGATAAATTGAGAACTTGTAAGCAACACGCCGGACATGAAGAAAGATATCCACATCATTGCCATGATTTAATGTATTTGTTGTTTTAATTGTAGATCGAGTTTCCTAAATAGATCTTAAGTTTAAATAACTTTCGAACAGGAAGTGTTTAAATTTTCTTATGTAATATTTCAATCGAGTTCTTTTTTTTTTTTTTTTTTTTTTTTTTTTGATCTGTTGCCATATATATGCAAACGCCCATCACGCTTAGGTGGAGTCTCATCATTATTTTAACAAAAAGGATACACAAATAAACGTTTTAAGTACTTAACCTTCAATCAGCACAGGATATAGGATAGTGATCTTGTTTTATCTACTTTCTTTTGTTAGAGTGTTTTTTTTCCTCTACAAACGCGGAACTCCTTCCAAGGAAACTAGTCAAGTAAAACAATATTGTCTTTTAAAGAAGGAAAATAGTTTCATGTAAAATTATTGATTTTATCATCATTTAAGGATACTGCAGGTACTAGATGCTACCAACCATCCGATTTCTTATAAATCCACTTCACAGGAACAGATTTATTCATTTCACCAAATGGGTATATTCTTAAACTCAGTCTTCGTTTTTCCACTGTTGTAAATATTGACAAAATCTAAGGGAAGTTGTCCAACTTTTACAAATTTGAAAAAGATCTTCATTAAAATGAATGAATAAAAATATTTAGAAATAGTTTAACCCTTTCAATTTTTGCTGTTGATAAGGAAAGGACAGGTTATATTTTTCGGAAAAGTTTGAATCAAATTGGACAAAAAAATTATGCCCCTTAGATAATACAGGTTTGTCTTGATTTTGAAATCAACTTATACATACAGTATACTTTAGATTCCGATGATGCCCCTATCTTCAATGTTGTAATTAAGACGTGTAACATTTCAATGTGTTTTAAACCACAGAAAACAGAAATATCATAAATGTACAGTGAAGAGCTACAGATTCAAATATATAAGTACAAACGAGGACTGTTCCGAAATTATTGGGACATTGTGTTTATTCTTCTTTCAAATGAACGCCATTTGATGAAAATTGGCATACACGTTTGACAACCACTAAGAATTAATAAAAGCAAGAAATATTTTACAAAATATTTCATTTCTTAGTTTCAATGGTATATTAATGTAGGCCTACCCGGCGAAGTCACGAAACCGGATATTAAAATCATGTAACACCTAAGTTCAAACTCCCAGTGGACCCAAAGTAAGCACAAAAATAATTCAAGTTATGTTAGCATTTTTTTATTTTTATATTTGTGTCATTTTGTGCGAGTTTCTTAGAATTTTGATCAGAAATACGAATATCACGAAATAAAGTTAAGCACGGTATAGAAATCAGATTACGACAACAAAATGGATTTTGACGTTAAGGCGGCGCAGCGAACATACCTAAAATTTTATATATCGGGGTGGGGACCACATATCCAGACCAAACGGCCTGCTTAAACAATAACAATGCAAATAAAAATGTCTAAGGTTTTTTGTTTTTTTTTTTCAATGGTGTACTTTTTTTTCTTATAAAACATTCAACCAGAGTCAAAACAAAGGCTCCGGACAACCATCATATATTAAGGATAAACGTTGACTCGCAATACAAAAATCGGCACTGCATGATGCTAAGTCAACCTGTATATGACATTTATGTAATTTTACATCAGGGTAGCAACAATACACATTTTATCTATTTTTTCTAAAGAATCATTTAAAAAAAGACAGAGTTTGATTTCTGGAATGTTATTTGTGATGACAGAGAAAAATAGAGTTAACGCTTCCTGATCGTTTCTGCAAGAGAAAAGATCTACGGCTGGCGTGGCGTTAAAATGACTTAGCGATGCTGTTCCAGGTCAACAGACATATGCAAGGTTATAATTTCACCGGGATATATCTAATTATTCTATTAATTAGACATTTTACACATTTGTTTTTGTTTTGTTTTTTTTCCTGATAAATGTTGACGAATTTTATGAATTTATCTTTTTCCTTTTATGGATTAAAAGTAAACGTCTCAGCAATTTCAAAACAACCCTCGTATATTCCCATGTACAATTATGTATTTCTTCCCTGAGTATCCCTTGTTTTATATTAATAAAATGTTTCATCACTGTACTAAAAAGAGAACTAATTGTATCCTTCCAAATTTATACCAGTATAACTATAAATCATGTTCATATCCAAATTCCATCATGTTTATTATTTTGATGCAATTGACTACAATAAAGAATGAAATAACAATGTAATGCATGATACTTTAAACATGTCATCTTTCTTGAATTAAGACATAAATATGTATGTTTACTATAATTCCTATTCTCTAAATTATGAATTTTAATAAGACTTTATAATTTAAAAATATACAATATAGCAAGATTAAGAATTACTTTCGTTACGTACTGTACACTGTGCCCACATGGGTATGTTTACTCAGCTATGTTAAGGAAGGTAATGGAAAATGCGATCTCAGTACATTCTTAATAGGTATCATTTTTAAAAATCTTTGTAACAAAGTAACTTTTAACATGTAGGAATGGTAATATAGATATTCATAATGGATAGGTTTGTGGCTTACTCAGTACCAATTACATGGCATGTATATCAGCTGTGTGTCACGTGACTGGTATAAAAATAGAATTGTTCAGCTGAATGTAAAAAATGAGGCTAGTGCAAGGGCATACGCATGTTTTTGGAGAAAAAAAATTATACATATTAAAAATATTTACATTGACTTTCCGAAAAGTGCTGGGAGCTTCTTTGAGCTGTTTCGGAATAATGTTAAGCCGACTGGAATCAGCTCCCAGCACTTTTCAAAATATACATAATATAAGCAATTGATATTCCATATTTCAGCTCAAACAGTCTAGTCTATGCCCTTGCACTTTTGAAGTTAATCAGGTATACACTTATCGTGTAAGAGATATTCTTTACATTCTCGGACTTTGTGCAGCTCCATAGCACTAGAAATGAATTAATAATCTACATTATAGTTTTAAATAAATTATTTCCTTTTAATTTTATTGATTAAATCTAAACATTTGCGATGGTTTTGTATTTATTTAAGCATTTTTGTAATTATTAAACCAATGGATCCACTCCTCTGGATCACTTGTACTGAGTCAAGTCAAGGCTAGTGACGTCATTTATGACATAAGATTTGCTTCTAATAATTCGGCATTATTGCTTTCAAATGTTATGATTTTACAAGCTTTTATAAATAATTGATAAAATAAATGAATGCAAGTTGTTATTTACGCATCACCATGTGGTTAAATATATTTTTGTCGCTTGTTAAATTTTTAATAATGTCACAATGAAACATCCCATACGGTGCATCACAGATGTGAACTCATGCCTTCCTTAACGTACCTGAGTACATTTCAATATTCAATGTTATTCCAAAATAAAGCAAAAAAACTTATGCAAAATATACTCAAGACATTGTTTAGGTGAAATATATACATACCAAATTTGTTAGACACTGGTATACTCTTACAGAGTCAAAAACAATAGGCTACAAAAAAAATCGTGCCTTCCATGATTCCACTTCCGAGATATACAAAGAAAACCCGTAGCTGAATAAACCGGGAAATTCCGGACTGGCCGTTACTCTAGTAGTACGTGTGCAAATTGAATATCATGCCTTGTGATATGAATTTCTTCGGTATTTTCTAGAAACATTCATTAATAACAATGTCTAAGTTCTACATAGGCAATTATAGGGAACTTTTTAAATAACAAAAAGCTAATGTGCCAAGGTAAAGCAAGTAATTAAGCTACATTCCCAATAAAATTTCATTCAGATCATTAGGCCTATCTATTTTACTTTCATGTTTTTTTTCTTCCTAATTGGAAGGCCCTGGTTCGATTCTTGTCTGCAGCGTCGCGTCAAACCTAAGACATAAACATAGATAGTGTCTGCTCCTTCGCCAAGCGCCCGGCATTAGAAGTGAAAGTCTTGGTTCTTTTGGATGAGGTCTAAAAATCCAAGTCTGGTCTCACGATAAAGAACCCTTACTGTTCAATTGCCCTGAGTGCCGAGTATAGGTATCAATTTGAAGCCCTTCACCAATATATAGTGACGTCTCTATATGAGTGAAAAATTCTCAAATGGGACGTAAAATAACACTCAATCGATCAGTCAAACATAAAATTTCTTCCTCTATTAACCAAATCATAATACTAAGGAAAAATAAGAAACACAGTATTCCAAATTACTCAAAGTGTGCAGGACCTACAATTAGAAATAAAATATCCTGCTATGCAAACTTATTAAATCTCTAATTTTCTTGATATCCTGAGGTAGTTCATGTAATTCACGCTGAAGCTTTGTTTGCTGTGTTAGAAGTGGTTTTTTTTATTATTATCATTTTCTCATACAATTCAAAACTTTTTCAGACATCTTTTTCCGGTCAAATGAACATACTGAGAACAAATCCGTAACATGCTGGGTACAAGAAATGTTCACACAATTTTTAATATGATTTAAATGTTGTTTTTATCTAAAGTCTTACTTGCATATATCTTACAGTTCAAATATCTGTGGAACCGGGCATGTTAAAATTTTCTTATGTAATATTCATTCCATTTTGTTTATAAATTAAACACTTTAATTTTTAACTGAAGGAGGTTGGGTTATTTACGACTATGCTTTTAAATATTTTTTTTAAATTAATATAATACATAAAGCACATGGAACTCCAGTCGTTTCCTGGAAAAAAGACCAAAAAAGTGATAATATATAAATAATCCCGAGGATTTACACAAGCAAATACCGAAGAGATGAAAACAAAAAAGGTCAGTTCGGGGTGTCCTACGAGATAACTTACAATTATTGTAGACTTTCAAGTTGAGTTTTGGTTTAACCCTATTCCATTAACTCATTCCAAGACAGTTGGTCTAAACAAAAAGTGTAAAATAAGGGTCTGTTACAGTGCATTTTGTCACCCTAAACATATTGTCGCCGGCTACAATATATACCAACCCTCACTACACAGGTATATATTGACACCAGCGATATTAATGATTGATGATTGATAAAACGTCCTCAATACATCTAACACATTGTTTATTTGATTCTCATACAACATGTTACTGTATATGATTAAATTTTTGTGATTTTAATTTAGAACCAAAAGAATAGAGTGGTCAAAAGGGAAACACAGAATCCGAAGAAAAAAATAGCATGCAAAGAAAATATTTCAATTCCTAATATTAGAAAAGTTTGTAAAGTTTACTAAAGATTTTTTTTCTTGAAGACTTGCAATGAATTTGAAGCTCGAAAATATATGAATAAATATTAAACATATAATACTGAGAGATGTTTTGACCTAAAATCAAAATATCACACAACTTTAATGTCTTCTAATCAGCATCTCCGTATGATAAAGAAATCTTCCTTGAGTAATCAATGGATACCAGACCGGATCGGAATGATGTTCAAAAAGAGGAGCATTTAGATTTGACCATGTACAGTAATTATACCACCAACCAGATCCACAGAGAACACCGCATTTGTGATTATTGTCCATGTCAAAGGTAGAAAATGGCTCATTTAGGATACTGTAACTCTTGAATGCATCATCTACAATGCAAAAAATAAAAGAAAGAAAACTAAAAAAGAAAGTATTGTTTAGAAAAACTTTCAATTTTCTATTTTCCCCCTTAAATAACTGCGAATATATATATTATTGGATATTTTGTTAAATAATACATATTACAACGATGCCTTCTTTTTTTCAGATTTGCATACAAACGTACATGTATATAGAATTATCTTCTGAAGACACTTTTTTTCTAAGAAGAAGTAAACACTCACCAATGCGTCCTGATTTGTTCCCCAAAGAAAGCCTATAGCCATCAGCTTCATCGGAAATAGAAAACGAGGTATATTTTACTTTATAAGACTGGTTACTTGTACTTTTCATTTTTATGTAGAGGTCGTTTGGGGATTTAGTGGTCAATTTGTGAATGACATCATTTCCTGTAAAGAGAAATTTGTATTAAAAAACAATACTGATTGAAGGAGGACAAAGAACAAAGTTAACTTGCAGTACCATACTTTGAACTCTGTTTAACTTATCGCATAAATTATGGTTATAAAAGACATAGGTGATTAAATTACTACTACATCTACATGTAATCTTATATATATAGTATTTAAATTTCTATTTTTACATAAAAAAAAATAATTTAAGTTGTAGCAGAGGGCTCGGGATGTCCTTATACATTACGTCACCTGGACCTTATCGTAGTGCACTACGATAGCGGCCAAACTAGGCAAATTAGGTCAAACATTTTGTTTCTAAGCATGGACACCAGCTCTTCTATTGTTTATATTATCGTTTTACCGAGTGTGTTTTGTTTGACAACTCAGCACACGAACAGGAACTAGCAACTCAGTGACCATGAGGTGTTGCTTCTCAAATCTTCGGATTATACATGTAGTTTTATATTTTCCATTAATACTTGATAATTTTTCATTTTTCTTAAATATTAACGATGTATTATTTTTTGTAGAAGTGGGGAATGTTTGTCATTTGTTCGAAGCTTTATGTTTTTCTTAGATAAAACAATATTCTTAATGTGTGATTTCTTATAATAGATCGGTCTGAATTGCTCTAGCAATATGTCATAGGCATGAAATTAAATCAAAAATCTTAGAAAATATTAAATCAAATCTGTGTTCAGTCCCCTTTAGAAAGAAGCAAGTGGCACAACGTTGTGTCCTTTAACTATTCAATTTTTCTTTCTTCCCTTATAGCGGGAGTGGAGGTGGTGTGATGGGGGTGGGGGAATATTGTTTTTAGTTTTGCTTTTGTTTATGCTCATTTCTACAGCACAATCGGATTTAATAAATTATTTGTTATTTTCAATTCAATGTATTTTTTTAAACATAAGAAAAAAAAAAAAACGTTTAAAATAATTCTCATGAAATTGATTTTAGAGAATCTTAATTGTTACTTGGTTTTCATGAAATAAATCACATTTTTTACTGGTTTAATTCCATATCAAAATATGTTAGGATGACCAAACCTTTAGAAAGCATTGCTTTACCTAACCAGCATTCGTTTAGGAGGAATTTCACTCATTTCCTTGGACCGTCATAACAAACAAAACAAATGTTTTAACGAGGCCGAGTCTAATTCGAATTTGCATGACTTTGCGCAGCTTTTTGATTTCATGCAGTCATATGTGCGACATTTCACCTTTCCCAAATATTGTGATTTTAATACAAAATTAACATTAGCTGTAATGCGTATGGATCTTAAAATGTTCTTTTACGACAATAGTTAGGAAAAAACGATGAACTGGCTCTAACACCGTCACTGTTTTCTGATTTTGTTAGCAAATCATGACGCTGAAAAATGACACATGACTCGCTTGTATGTTCAAGACGTCCATGGATATTATACTAAAAACTGTTCACAGAACATGAAAAGAAACATAGTAGCAATCTAAACATTGCTATTTTATCGCAATTTTAGAGGTATTGGACATTGAAGAAATAAACTTTGTAATAATCCCTAGATCAACCTAGATGGTCAACTTTTTTGAAATTTCACAATTTGGTGACTTTTTACAATAGCTTTTATGTACTTTGCTGACAAAAAAAAATCTCTAGGGCAGAAATACAAAAAAATATGGAAAAAAATGTGATAATTTGGCGCTTTTTTAAGAAATTCCCAAGGTCCAATAATAAAATTTGACAACTTTTGAGATGGCCCTTAAGAAATCGGGATGGTACATGTAAACATTCGATTTTTTAATCTTAAAACAATAAATATAATAGTAAAAATTAATTCAAACAAATTTATCAAAATCTCTAGAGTAGAAATAATTAGACTCGGCCTCGTTAAATCGTCTTTTTTTGGAGAAAAATTTTGTTTACATAACAAAGGCCTACTACATGTATCCGTACATATCATATATAGGTAGTAGCAAACGCTATTTCTATTCTTCAATCCTCAAATCAAATTTTATAATGAAAAACAAATTGTATAAAAATGATTGATTGATTGTATCTGCATTACATCATATTCGTGAATTGATTTAAACTCATATCACTCGTGAAAAAATAATTATAACAATAAACACTCCCTTTTCCAGTAAATATTTTACTAATCATGTAATTGATTGCTGTTCATTTTCCACATCATACTTCTGTTCTCTGTATATGATTAGGAAAGCTTTATTAAAGAAAACCCAAACAATCTTAACCAATTCTATTTCAAGGTTATGCCGCTAACATTGATATATCACTTGCATATATTTGTCATAGGTTAATTTTCTTACCAAGCCAATAATTTCCTCGAACATCCCCGAATCCACTTTTGTATTTATCCCATGTAGTGTTGAAATTTACACGTGGATTTTCTCGATGCCTGTTTTGTATTACCTGAAGCAATGAAAAAAAATATATACGTCTAAAGGTAATTTTTACAGGACATCTAGTGAATTCTTAAAAACGATAACCTCTTCTCAAAAAAAATTGCTCTTTGAATAAACTGAAATAAACGCTGAAATGAATTCAAACAAACCAAAAAAAAAAAAAAAAAAAACGAAAAAGAGAGAGAGAGAGAGAGAGAGAGATGAAAACGAGTACTTTTTACGATACGCTCATACCTTATTATAAATTTGAAGGTTCATATCATTCTATACATTATGATAAAGAACAAGGAAATTAAGTATAGCAGGGGACTAGTTGTTCAACGTATAAATCCGGTTCCATACGTTATTATGATTGATTGATTGATTGTTGTTTTACGTCCCCTTCGATAATTTTTTTTCACTCATATGGAGACGTCACCGTATATCGGTGAAGAGCTTCAATTTATTTATAGAGCAGTGAGGGTTCTTTATCGTGCCAACCTTCCGTGACACGGGGCCTCGGTTTTTAAGGTCTCATGCGAAGGACCCGCAACTTTTACTTCAAAGTGCCGAGCGCTTGGCGAACGAACAGTTGCTACCAATTTTTTTTTTTATCGACTAAGGTCAGTCGAGGCCGTGATTCGAAAACACGACCTTCTGATCACAGAGCGAGTGCTCTACCGACTGAGCTACTGTGCCGGTTGTTATTTAATTATGATGCACCATTACTAGAAAAGGTTATATAAACATGGACATGCTAAAGATTGATACATACGACGAGCTTTTATACACTTATCCACTAGTTGTTAACGAAATAACTGTTTCATCAAACTCGTGATTGGAAATAATAACAAGTTACACTTGTTCGACAGAATTTTGTTGGAATAGCTATTGCAATTTTAGCTTGTTGATAAGTTTTTTTTTAAATCAAATTAGTGTTGTTTTTTTTTCTTTGAGGCTTGAAAACACATGCTATACCCCAGTCATTAGCTTTATCAACCTCTTAAATGTTTGAAAATTTTCAACAAATCATGTAATCTCAAAGAAAAATGAGAATGACATCAAAGATTATATTCCAAGACAAAAGGTTTTCTATCTTTTAACTTAATAATCATTTCTCATCATAAACTTTATATACGAAACATCAATCGAAAGGACGAATGATGGGTTTAGGACACATTCGGGTGAATCCGTAGAACCTCTTTTGCAGTTGGTGCTTTCATGAGAAAGATCCATCATTGTTCAAGGACCCTGAGTGTTGAGTACAGGCACAAATTCGCAGCCCTCAATTGGCAAGAAGTGGCGTCTCAATATGAGTGAAAAAATTCTCGAACGGACTATAAACAACGAACAACCAAACAGACAAACAGATTTTGTACATTACCGTCCAACCTCCCCCCTGCAAATCCATATCACACATGACGTTAACAGCATTGTTGATTTCACCAAATGGGTAAATTTGGTACACCCCAGTGTCTCTTTGTCCACTCGTATAAATGTCAAAACAATCCAAGGGTGATTGATTACCTATTAAAAAAATAACGTAAGGAAACATAAAAAAGGACATGTGATACAAACTTTCATGCATAGTTTATCCCTTGATATACCCTTTTATAGTTGGTAGATTTTTACTCTCCCTTGACATCGAAAAGCTTTTTCATGATTATAAAATACATGTACCTTAAGTGAAGGAAATGATATCTTAAGAACCCCATATGTTTCTATTTCTAAATACAGTTGAGACAAATTGATTCAGATGCCGCTGCACCTCAAACATATTCTCCTTTTTTCACTCTTTCCTAGAACTTTTGAATAAGTTTTTAATCTTTTTTTATTTAAAGATTAAATATTTTAACTTTCAGAAGACATCAAAACGGTCTTCCATAATTTTAAAATACATTGAATACTGGAATTTTATATTTCAAGAAATTCAATTTTTCCTATATTTCTATAATTTATGAAAAAATGCCTTCGGATTTCACTTAACCTGATCATATTTTTCCGCTTTAAATTTTTTACTTAGTTTTTGTCTGTTAGATTCAAATATTGAATAAATTCAACATCCAACAACAAAGCATTGAGATTGTTATTGTTTATTGCAGTTGGTATACAGTTCTTCTTTTGCTACTGTCATTACGTAATACAATGTCTTAAGCTTTGACGTCTTTGTTGAAACGTTATGCTGATTAAAAATTATAAATATGGGTTTTTGAAAAGAACTCAAAAATTTTTGGAAGTTTTAACAGTAGTTAAAGAATCGTTATTTGCTCTAGCTATCTACTGGAAGTTTTTTTTCTGTATTAAACTCTTCGACAAGGGAGGAAACTCGAGATGTTTGCTGAGAAATTACAATGAATATTTTTACTGAAAAAAATGTCACTTTCATTCAAATGACAAAACTGCAGTATTGCATTGTTAAAAATGAAGAAAAAATACATATTCAACCTACAATGTTAATATTGCATATTTCTTATTTTAATGCCACAAGGTAAGTTCCTTTTAAAAATTACTTAAATAAATACTTTAATAAACACACATACATTCAAATCTGAGTTAAATATCTTACTCCATGTCATTGTGCATATAAATGAGATATACGTCAGTAAGTTCTGGATTTTGGATTCACTTCTCTACTGTATATGAAGAATTGCCAATATTTTAACAGAGTCAACCTACTCTTGATCTCCAACTAATTTTTTGTTTCTAAATTAATTCTTAATTACGTCACAATACTAAAGAATAATAGGGAACACAATGTTCCAAATTACAAAAAAATGTAGACAATCAAAAGATAAAAGTTATTTAGTTTCTTGAAAAAAAAAATATGTTCTTTATAGATTTATTGACATCACCGTTCGTTATCTGCACCTTTACAACTGAACAAAATTTATCAGGAAACTTCCGGTAGTTTGAATCGTGAACCCATTTTAGAATATGGTTTTCTATTCAAATAGTGAATAGCGAATAATTTCCTCACTTCAGATTAGCCAAAATAAAGTAATCAGGCCTTCAGATTATAATGAGATATCAATATTATACACACTTGTTAAATTACGGCTGATCAGCAAATCCCTGATTTCCTTGTTATCCTGTCGTAGTTCATCTAATTCACGCTGAAGCTTTGTTTGCTGGTCCCGAAGTGTTTGAATTTCTACCATCATCTTCTCATACTTATCATTACTTTTACAGTCATATTTTTTATTTAAAGGAATATACTGAGAACTTGTAAACAACAAACAAGACATAAAGTAATATGTCCACACCATCGCCATGATTTAAACTCCCCCGTTCTTTCACCCTAAGTAATTTAAGGTCTTATGGTTTAAATGCCCACTGAAAATGAAAGTGGTCAAGTTTGTTTTGTAATTTAATATCGGATTTTTTTTTTCAGTCGTATACCTTAACTGTTCAGCCGTGAATTTGTAAACACACTGTTAGAACTAATGAAAACTTTAATAAGCTATTAGAATTTTTTTAAATATTAAAATACTCCTGTTTTCATTTAACCAATCGATTAATCTTCCATTGTAGAAAGGTACTTATAGTTGTTTTCTATAATGATAATTTTTGTGAGCTACAGTGTGTAAATATACATATTTAGATAATTTTGGGAGCTGTAGTGTGTAAATATGTACATTTATTACACACTACATATCACTACAATGATTGTACGTTGCACAAAAACTGTGCTAAAGATTCCCTGGTAAGTCCCATTTTATTCTTTATCATATGTCCCAGTAAGTCATCAATCAGCCTTTAAGTAAAACATTGATAGTACTCTTGATCTCTCTATACCAAGCTTTTTAAGGGACTCGAGTTATTTAAGATAATTCTTGAAAAAAGAGGAAACTTTTACTTACATAGCATAAACTACAGCAATTGAGTTTTCTAGACTCACGAGAAAAATGAACAAAGGTAAACCAAATTTGGACCATAATTCCATTTTCTCTCTTTGACGAAGAGTTTATTATCAGTACAAAAACATCATCTATCTTATTAAGACACGAAATTTATTGTTTAAAAAACCTAATACACTGCCAAAATATGTTGATCACGATGTTGCTGTTTCTTAAAAATTAAATCTCACCTGTATTTAAACAAAGTTAGAATTTACCTTTTAAACGTTTATAATAAGGGTAATTCATTGTCCCAGAAGTGTTACAATGATCGCAACATTTCCTCTGAATGTGAATAAATTTAAATTCCTCGTTGTGGAAAAATTTTACACCGAGAGTCATCTTTAGACTATGATTTGCAATGCGCTATTTTTTGTTACCGTTTCAATTTCTTCTAATTAAGATCTCCGAACTAAAAAGATTTATCCCTTTGTTAATGGATGGATTCCAGACAAAATCTTGATGATGTTCAAAAAAGGGGCATTAAGATTCGTCCATGTACAGGAATCGAACCACCATCCTGATTTACACTTAGCCCCGCACTTGTTGGAATTGTCTTTGTCAAATGTAGAAAACTTCTGATTCGGACTGTAACGTTGAAATGCATCTCCTATTAGAACAGAACAATGTTTTTTTTTTAAAATAATAAATGAGTAAATATTGTAAAATTAATAAACATCTTTGTTTTATCAATGCCTAGTAGCTATATATGTTAATAATTACATGTTTACAAATTTAAATGTTGGATTTCGGGTTAAAAATTTTGATTTCTTTTCTACAGTTTGTAATCCAAAACTTGAGGCCTTGGATAGCATATAAACAAAAAATTAATATGTTGGCATTCATACACAAGAAAGCTAAAGATGGGAGTAGAATGTAAAAAAATACATTAGATAAAATCATTGAAACAAACAAATCTTATTTTAAAAGTCTTTTTCTTCTTTTCTTCATTTTGCATTATATTTGTAGCCTAATATTATTGACCTTGTAAAGTAGCATATACCGGTATAAAGTGACCAACGGGAAGTGAAAATACGATAAAATTCATAAAATAAGGTAAATAAATACTTTAATAAATTCCATAGTTTATGATTTGATTAGCTTTATCCAAGCAATTCTGGTTTTTTTTATCCCCTCATCAAAAGAAAGAAGACATTCAACTTGTTGAATAATAATTATTTAAAAAAAAAGCTATTAGAGATTATATTTATATGCAAATTCATGATATTCTGTGAATAAAATAAACACTCACCTATGCTTCCTAAACTCCTTCCCAAGGAAAATCTGTAACCATCTGCCTCATCAGAGATGGAAAATGATGTATACTTTACTTCGAACGACTGGTTACTCGTACTTTTCATTCTCATGTACAGATGGTTTGGGAATAAAGAGGTCAATTTATGAATGGCATCATTTCCTTGAAAGAAAATTTTAAAGGTGTGAAAAACTAATGAATTTTTTTGTGCTTGAATAGAAGGGTGACGGTTGTAATTGCAATGTGTTCATATAAAAGTGTAAATAAAGATAACGGCCGGACTTTACAGTGAAACGGATAATTTCTGTCTCAGACAACATAGTTATACTGTAAAAGACGAAAAAACATCTTTAAGCATTCGTTTAAAACGGCTTAAGGGCGGCTTAAAGGGGGGCTTAAAGAAGTTGATTTCTCTCATCCACCATTAAGCTACAGCTTATAGATGCTCAATGTCCATACTCCTTTAAGCCACGATTAAGCCATCTTAAAGCTGCAGCTTATAGATGCGTAATGTCTTAACTTACTTAAGCCACCATTAAACTCTAGAGTCGCGGAGTAAGGAGGTAAGACTTACGTAGCGGGTTCGAATCCCACTGTGGGACATGGAAACCGGTCATTCAGCATTCGGATGAGACCGAGGTACCGTGTCGCAGTAGGTGCTGGCACGAAAAAGATCCCTCAATGCTCCATGGCCCTGAGTCCCGAGCATAGGTAAAAAAATTGCAGCTCTCCACCAGCAAGTGGTGACGTCTCCATATGAGTGAAAATTCTCAAGAGGGACATTAAACAACAAACAAACAAACCAAAAAAAAGCAAACTGTCTGTGCTTTTGTCTGTGATTCATTTTGTTTTCGGTATTTATGAGAAAAATCACTGTTCGTTTACCTCACCATTAACTGTAGTAGGTAATTTATTGTAATAGGGATTTACATTGTAAACATTGCAATACAATGTTCCATGACGTATTGGTAATACACGTAAAGAGTTACTCGTATTCAAATTTCAAAAAGTATGCATGCCCATACTACCTGAAGGATCCTTAAAGAAAAAAATTATGTTAGAAAATAATACCGCTTAAATTAATATTAATGTGTATCTTTTCTGTTACTTACCAAGCCAATAATTTCCTCGAACATTCCCAAACCCTCTTTTATATTCATCCCAATACGTATTGAAATTTACACGAGGATTTTCTCGATGCCTCTTCTGTATCACCTGGTTCATTGAATATATACTGTAATCATATATAAGTTAGCACACTAAAAATAAGTGTTATTGTCCTTTTAAACAGAATAGCTCAATGTTGACAAGCGCACAAAGTTTTTTTTCAGTGATATGTATTAGTTTTAATAATATATTAGTATGTTCATAATTAGCGATCAAGAAGGATTGGAAAAGGCGCTGAAGTATGAATACTGTTAAAACTAATACGTTTACAATTTGTATCAAGGAAATTTAGGGGTGTGTGACCGGTCGACAGGGGATGCTTACTGCTCCATGCCTCCTGATCCCATCGCTAATGTTTGTGAAGGTCTGTGTTTGCTCAGCTCCCAAATTGATGGTATACTGATTTACTACCCATTGGAGAATTTTTCCCTCATATAGAGAGGTCATCATATACTGGTTAAAGGCTTTAAATTTAGACCTATACGCGGCACTCAGGGCCATTGAGCAGTGGGGGTACTTTATCGTGCAAATACGTTGGTTTTTAAGGTCTCATCCGAAAGACCCATGACTTCCATGCTTGGCGAAGGAAGAATCACTGCATACATTTACTTCTTAATTAGGTTTGACGCGGCGCGGCGAACGAGAATCGAACCCGGGCCCTCTGGTCACGAAGCAAACGCCCTACTTCTTCATTACTGTGCCGTTTCGTTCTAAATTTGGGGTTTATAAGTGTTCGTTTTCTTCATATTTCATATATTCACTAATTAGTTTATTTGCATAGAAATGTCTATGCCTAGCCTTAACTCACTTTCGTTCATGCATTGGTTTCAGTTTTTGAATAAAATTGACAGGAGTGATACATCAATTAATTCAAAAGGGAATATGAAAATTAAACAAAGAGAATTGTTGTATGATACGCACTGTACGTTATTTTGGTAATAAAATACACTTTTCTATTAATTATGATATAGGTATAAGTATGTTATAAGTATACACTTCGTATAAATGGATATTTTAATGGTTTATGGACATCATTCGTACCATAAATTATTATAGTTTATACCTCAAGTTGTATCACACATGACTTATTAATGATTTAAAGATATAATACATGTATGTGCAATTGTCATGAAATTTTATGGATAAAATAAGTAAAATATGTTCATGGATGGACAATGACAATATTTTATTTTTGTTCTTACATTAATCAATACTACTACATGTATGTTTTTTTTTTTTTTTTTTTTGTTTGTTTGTTTGTTTGTTTGTTTGTTCTCATAGGTTAGCTTATGGAGGAAGTCAGTTATACATGTTAGATATTCATTTTAGTTTGTGCATCCACTCAGTGTTATATAGTATTTCAAACTTGGAATAAATAAATAATTCATGATTACGCTAAAATTATCAATGTACATGTACTATGTAGTCACCACTATTTTGACTTAAGGATATACTTGTATTTTATTTTGGATCATCATAATTTTAGAATAAACTAATAAATGTACGTTATTATTGTTTAAGGATACACTAAGCATTGTACGTTATTATGCCTTTTGGATACCCGAGTTACTGTCCTTTACCGTACAACCTCCCCCTGGTGAATCCATTTCGCAAATCACGGAAACAGCCCTGTTGTTTTCACCAAAGGGGTAAATTTTGTAAACCCCAGTCTTTGTTTGTCCACTGTTGTAAATATCGGAACAATCCAATGAACGGGTTTGATCATCTGGAAAGAAAAAAAAAGAAAAAAAAATATTAAAAAAAATCTACAAGGTTGACCTTTTTGTAAATTTTTCAAACTAAAATGCTTGGAAATTCATGTAAATTTAAAAAAATGTCCTAGTGCATGTGCAGGTTTTATTGGAAATTGTATAATCCAACTTTAATTCATTATTTTGCCATTATAAGGATCAACAAGGCTACCATTTCTACTGTTACCTAATTGTTAATACCTTGTCAATATTCTGTAGATTGAATTTATTAAAACTGTTACATTGTTTCTTTCTCCTTTTAACTATACTTGTGAATAATTCCTAGCTCTCAAATTGGCTGAGATCCAATATTGCAGAAAAAAAAATAATATGTAATTTTTACCTGCATGTGACCATTCAGGTGATCAAAAAAGTATTTTCTTACATTGGACTAAAGTAGATTGCAAACTTCTAAGCTGACAGAATTACATGTATTTATGAAAAGTTTTTTACATACACCCGACTTCTGTACGGATGAATGTAACATTTCAGGCACGTAGTATAAAGAGTTGAGGTTTTTTTTTTTTTTTTTTTTTTTTTTTTTTTTTTTTTTTTTTTTTTTTTTTTTACAATCGATTTAGAATGAAAAATTTCAATGAAAGGCTGTCCCTCACTTTTTGATAAAATATAATGAAAGTCCTCTTACGCTCATGAATCCAAACACCCTCACTCCATCCCGAAAAAAAAAAATATCGGTTCAGAGAATTTTTCCTTTTTTGACTTGTCTATTTTTCAAGATCATTTTCCATTTTTTACCTCCTCACCTCCTCATATTCCAAACAAGTGTTACGTGCCGTTTTTCCTTCAAAAATAGATTTTAATAAGAAATTCGAAATTTGTGCAACAGTTAACCTATGTTTTAACCTTGCTATTCTCACTGTTTATTGTTAGAGTTTCAACAAATATAAACAATCAAAAAATCTATCGACTTTGTAAATATATATGTAATTAAATCATATAATAAAACTTTTATTGCTTTTTTTAGTTGCGATTATTAAACCAACCTTGAAATACAATATACATACCTTGCCTAGTTAATAATAATCAACAGCAGCATTCAGTAAAAAAAAAATCTAAAATTTGTACTTATTAATAACGAAAATATATAAATAGATATATAAATCAAAGATTAATGCACAAATTTACTTAGCAAAAAATCAAAATATAAAAATTAAACATTGCTTTGCTTTGATTCACGTCAGATCATTTACAAAGTAATTATATCAAGAAAATTCTTCATAAATGGAGAAGGGTGACTTACATGCCTACATGTTTAGTGATTAGGGGAAGAGTTTTTGTAGATATCAAAACTTGAATACAAATACAGGCCCGTTGTAGTAAAAATTTTAATTTTTTTTTACAATAAATGCCCCGCCCCATTTTTTCTGAGATAGTTACATTGCTACAGTAAATTTCAATTATCTGCTGGTTGATTGTTGCTATAAGGTCGAGCACAGAATTTTTTTTTTTTTTGGGGGGGGGGGGTCAGATTTTTGTTGGAGTCTACCCTCTCACTATTGAAACAGTTGCTACGGGCCTGAAATATTATTTGATATTTATTATATGAATGTACATAAATTTATTTTTTAAAAAGTACTTTAGAAAAAAAAAAAACAACCAAATGTTTAAATTAGATTAAAAATATATTCCTTGACAAATGAACAAGCTTGTAGATTCTTGCTAGCGAATTTTTCCTCAATATTTAAAAGGTCATAAAAGATTACCATTTATAAATTGTCATCATATCGAGTGTGGCAATTAACGTGAACGGATAAAAAGATCTGACATGAGTTAGACTGATCATGTATCCAGCATCCAGTTTGCTATTTTTGAAATAATTACGTATACTAAGCATATAAACGAAAACCTAAACACCACAGTCTATATTCTTCCGATTCTGGATTCAACGATTAATTATCGGTTTCTAACTTGTTTCAACATAATCATGATTTTAAAATGGAATCCTATTCTGTCAATTTGGTCAATGTGTATAGACTTCAAAAGTTGTCCAAAGTTTCAAGTTCTTTCTATAAGGCCTCTCGATTAAAGCAGAATATCTTTATTATACGTACTTGTTGATGAACAGTTGGTCAGCAAAACTCTTAATTCCTCCTTATCATTTTTCAGCCGATCTATTTCATGCTGAAGCTTTGACTGCTGGTTCACTAGCGTTTGCAGTTTTTCCATTATGTTTTCATTACTGTCGCACTCATCTTTTTCACCCAAATTAAGATACTGAGAACTCGTAAACAACAAACCGGACACGAAGATATATTTCCACATCATCGCCATCATTTGATCTCTTGCTCGTTTAAGTTAAATATTTTTTTGAATGTATTTTTTTTTATATCTTAACGTTTAAAAAATCCAAGAAGGATGAACTCGTTTTCCTTGGTACTATCATAATCGATTTTTTTTCTCAATCTTATCGCTAAATTGTTCTTCTGTAATTTAATCACCAAGCTTTAGAAAAAAAAAATGTAGATAAGTTGCCAAAAAATAAGAATATGGTACATGTACACTTACTAACATCGGGTGTCATTCTAGGTGAAAAAGCCCAAAGAAATCCTTTATTTCGTCGTTCATTTACATTATTTGGTAGAAAAAGGGAACTTCCTTGTGAATGTTGGTTTTTGCAGAGATAGCTTATGTGTGCCAAAGGGTTTGATCTATGATAGTAAATCGTAATTGTTAACGCCATGCATATATATCTATACAGACTACCTGCATGCAGAAAGAAGTTTCCTTTTTCGAACAAATAAAGTACATGCAATGAATAGATAAGGAAGAAAAAAAGACTATTGTTTTATGTTTATTCACCCAAAGTAAAACCCGATATATGTACAATGAGGGTGTACCATATCTTTCAATTTTGGCAATTAAACTTTTTTTCATTAATTCCTAAGCTTCCTTAATATGCTTGCAAGTTACGGACGAAATTTCAACAATAAGGTTGAAAAAAAGAATTCATTGATGCACAACCATTGTCAACAGTTTATCTGAATCTCATATCTTCTACTTTAGGTATCTGAAATGGATAACATTAGTTATACATTATACATGTATACGTATGAAGTTCCTATTTGAAATTAATTTAGTTATCTTTTTTAGGGTTGATATTTCTTTTTCATTGTGAAGGAGCAATACTAGAGGCGTCCCTTATCAAATTCTATTATAGAGATTTAGACAGATATTTAAGGGTTCCTACCACAGCTGTATATATACTTAAACATTGCTGTGACGTCATGCCTTTGTTCTTGCAGTCTAAAAATTTACCTGTAGCTGTCCGATAATAACAATTAGCAGTCCAATAATATATTATCGGACGGCAGTGATAACAAAATCGGACAGTAGTTAAAAAACAACAACTAGAGTAAAATCAAGGTTTAATTTGTCCAGAAACCAAAAAAAAAGTTAGGGAGAAAAATTCAGGGAAAGCGAACGCGAGGAAATTAAGTTGTTAAAATAGCAAATCCAAGAAGAAACTGGAGTTTTAACCTTCCTCAAAAGTAACACTTTCCATTCGGTTTTTTGCAAAGCATTTTCGATACAGCACTGTGAATAAGCCCATTTAAATCCATTTCTGATAAAGAACCAGTCTGCGAATCTCTTCATTTCACGAGGTTTGTTCGCCAATGACTGCAATTTTAAAACCCAAGATTTTCCTTATATCATCCAATCAAAATTTTAGATAAAAATCCGCATTTTTACTTTAAATGCATTTTGATGATATCATCCAATACTGTATCTGGATCAATGTCAAACGCACTTAATAAAAAAATATTCCGAATCATAAAAAAAAAATCCTTCATCACCTGACCACAGTCATTAGTTCCTGCTAAGCCAAACGACTGACATTGAATGAATGAAACAAAAGAGTTCATTCACAGATTTTACTGTCTAAAGAAAAAAAAACTTTCTCTTTTCTTTTGTCTACTTATCAGATGGTTTCAGGTAGAAAACTATTGATGCCTGAACTCCTGTGTAATTATCGGACTCCTCCAGGTAACTTTTGGACATTTAAATAGAAATGTTTTAAGTAAGATATATGCCTCATACAATTCTATATGTAAAATTATCAGACTGTTTTCGGCCCTAACGGGCCTCAAACAGTCTGATAATTTTACATATAGAACAGTATTTGGCATATATCCATTACTTATACATGTATAGGAAGCACTTACATCTACTTGCAAAAATAGCATTTTAAGATTCAGTATACATTTTAAAGCTGTTAAAAAGGTATAAAGTTGAACTTATTCAATTAAGAGAGAATATCTTTTCTTACAGAATTATTTGGAGTGAATATTGGTGGTTTGGTAGAATATATAGATCAACAAGGTACTGAGTAACAACAAAAGTCAGCTCTAGTTTCTAATTGATGTTAAGAAGAAAGTAGACATGTTCAATGGAGATGCACGTCTCTACATTTTTATTTATCTCTTTTGGTCTTGTTTTTTTTCGAGAATATCTCTTCATATGAATTCATTTGTTTGCATATATTAATTAGCTATTTACTATTTCGGTGTGGTTTATGAAATTATCAGAACCTTTATAGACCAACAACAAAAAGTGCATTGATATGAATTTTTGGTTTCTCGAACAGGAATCATCACACAGGGAACTGTTCCATTCAGTCAACTGACTATTTACTGAAACGTCTAGAAACAAAGTGTCTGATTGGCAGTCACCTTTTAATAAAGGTTTGGTCACCTATCAAATAACTGAATGCCGGAGTTTAATCCCTTGCGTGTAAATATGTATTTAGAGAACCTGTTTCTGTATATCAAAATACAAATTCTTTTTTAAACCAAATCCAATTCAATCATTTGCAGAAAAATCTTATTTGCCTGCAATCCAGTGTATTTTTATTTAGGATAAAAATATATTTCAAGAGCATAATCCAATGTTTGGAGTGCATAGGATCATTTAATGACTTTAAAGAATGAGTAGCGTTCAAAAGCAATTGAAAATAAATAACATTATCATGTGTGATTTTATTATTAAGAATCGTTTTGTGATACATAATTTGTGTGATTTTTTCTGAAATACTTATTGTATTCCCATTCAATTAAATGCTGGCTTTCGATTCCTAGTTACACGGATCCTATGCTGACGGAATTAGATCAATGTAATCAGAAATAGCATTGTTTCTAGAGATGCTTCCTAAATTAGATATATTTGAACTTTAGCATTGTAATTATACATGTAATCTAACGTGAAAAGTGTACAGTTTGGCATTCTTCCGAGTTATTTAGGAAATCAATGACATCTATGACTTAATATTACACCATTTCCAAATATCCCTAACGTAGATGTTTTAAGACAAATGTGCCCCGTTTTGAATTGAAAAATAAACTCGGGCAAAAATGCCTATGTATAAAGTTTATTCCACAAATTTTCCTTGTTGATTGCATTTAATTTCAATTCGTTAAAAAAATACATTACTTAAATTAATTTGGATATTTGTTTTAGATAATATTTCTTAAGTTCAAATTAAAAAAAAAGATATTAATCTTTATTGGTTTGACAGAAAAAAAATTATAATAATGTTTATGATATCTTAAGGAGATAAGTCGGATTATCAAACAGAAGATTTATTCTTCACTACGTTCCTCTTATTAACATCTCTGAAAGGTATAGCTCACTGCCATTCGGAATAGTTTGATACCAAACATACTCCAGATGTTCTTTTGAAAAAGGAGCATTAAGATTCACTCGGGTACACCAATCGTACCACCATCCAGATCCGCACCGAGCTCCGCACATGTACTTATTGTCATTATCGAAGGTAAAAAAGGGAAATCCTACCACCAAATACGATCTGAATGCATCAACTAAAACAAAAGAAAAAGTAATTTCCATTTACATGTTACTGAAAACACAATTGTCGCTTGGTATATATGCTGAGCAGACGCATTAAGGTGAAAATTACATTCAGTGGGATAGGGGTTTCATCAATTATTTTTCCACTTTTTCTGAATAATACATTTTTGTTATGCCTTTCTGAGTTAAAAAATGACCTAAGATAAAATTACTTTGATTACAGTTACCCGACCGTCCCTAATTAATCGCGCCAAACGAATTCTTTCTTTTCCATGTAAAATCAAGAAGCTGCATGATCATAAGACTTCTTTCCAACATAACGATTTTTTATTCAAAAGGTTATTTTAAAAGCTGCCGAACAGATAATAAAAAAATATGGTTTGAAGAAGAAAACACCAAACAGTCTCAGGAAAAATTGTAATTTAATATTTTGCCTTTAATCATCCATAACATACAAAAAAAATTCTGCATGGATTGGTACGCATTTTTTGACTGATTTTGAATAAAATGGCAAGGTAAAAATAAGTGTACAGTAACTGATTTCATAAAAGTCTATTATCAATAAAAAAAAATGTGGCTGTGGCATAAAACACGAACCCTGGAAATTCCAGAGGTGATATCAGGCAGGTGCCTAGGAGGAGTAAGGATCCCCTGTTGACTGGTCACAACCGCTGTGAGCCCTATGTATAGGTATCAGGTAGCAAAATTCATTTTAAAAACAAATTCCTAACGATAGGTATGAAACACATCAGTCAACATATGACCCAATCCTAGGTTAAATTACTGATATGGTCATTATGACGACCATAGAATTTACAAAATGCTGACTCTTAAACGAGGTTGTTGAAATTCCTGTAACATCAACATATCTGTCAGTAGGCTGCATCGATTTAAAAATTTATCGTTTATCGTGTCAAAAAAAAAAAAAAAAAAAAAAAAAAAAAAAAAAAAAAAAATCTTGAATAAAAACAAGCATCGTATGATAGAATTGTGTTCAATTATGCAACTTCGTGCCTTATGTATTTTTTATATTTAATATATGCAAGTATTTGCACACACTTTATTACGTTTTTACAAAATCTCACATTGTTTCCACTCTCATTTTTGGAAACGTACATTATTAAAATCATCTATATGTACATAAACTATATACTGATAAATTGCTGATTTCTTTTTTTAAAAAGTGTTATTTATCCTTAATTAGTTTTAAAAAATTGAAAAATGAAGAAAAACAAATGCTGCCTACCGACCCCAAGTTTTAAAGCATGTAATAGCAAACAAGTATATATTTTTTAAAACTTAAATGAAAAGTGGGAAGAAAAAATGATCTAGGGCCCACCAGTATTTCCCTAAGGAGAGTCTATAACCATCGGTTTCATTAGAGATGCAAAATGAAGAATATTGAACTTCAAACAACTTATTCTTTTTAGATTTCAGTCTGATAAACAGTGTGTTGTTGTATTTTG